GTGCTCAGGCGCCTGCTCACTGTCGCAGAGATCCTCCTTCATGGGAACTCTACGAGGACTAACCTCCCTTAGTCCCAATTTCCCCAGAGAGACCTTGCCTCCTCTCGGTCTCTCCAACTTTTCCCACCCCGCTACGCTCCCACCCTGTTCTGCCTTTGGCTATTTGGGTTGGCCAATGTCGCACAATCACGCGGGACTCACATCCCGCGGGACTGCCTCATTCGTGCCTTGTTCCCGCTCGGATTCTAGCAATCACGAGCGGCAACCCTGGGTTGCGGAGACGGTCGGCTCAGTAAATGGCCGAGTCTCTCCACCACCCTACCCTACTCTACTCAACTAGTCGTGCTGTGCTGCTCTAGGCGATCCATCCACGCTGACCGGCGTGGAAAACCTTAACCCTCATGGGTTCTTCGATGAATGACTCGAATCACAGTTGCCAGACTGGTACCATCTCACCAAAATACGATACAAATCTACTCCCACACTTCGCTCACCCACAACAAGTACATCTCTACACTCCACAGTCATCACCTGCGTTCCTGAAATGGATACCCCACATACATGTCGATTGCCACTGCCTTTTCGCAAGATCCACTCTAAGGCAATAGCACCCCCCGAAGACCGCTCACAGATAGCAACCTTGAATGAACACAACACGCAAGACCGGTCAACTCTCTCCTTCAGCCATTGAACAGTCGATCGCAAGAAGGTTGTTCCTTCTCTGCTCACAATTCTCCTTCAGCCGAGCTGCAAGCTAGAACTAGAATAGATTAACCCACCTCTCCCTCCCTGGGTTGGCCGAATGTCGCACAATCACGCGGGACTCACATCCCGCGGGACTGCCTCATTCGTGCCTTGGTTCCCGCTCGGGATTCTAGCAATCACGAGCGGAACCCCTGGGTTGCGGAGACGGTCGGCTCAGTAAATGGCCGAGTCTCTCCACCACCCTATCCTACTACTCTACTCAACTAGTCGTGCTGTGCTGCTCTAGGCGAGCGCCGCTTGTCGGCGCTCGTAGTTTTCAACTGGTACTTTAGGATCTTACCGTGGCGTTACTCTTCTAAACAATAGTTCTGCATTTGCAGAGGTGTTAACTCCTTTGAAAACTTAGTCACGTACTGTATAGGAAGCACTGTACGACATTTTGTTGTGACGGTAAACTGCTATCTCGATGTCGTACACAATTTGCACACTGATAACTCCAAAAGCTCTCCACCGACAAAGGAATCCTGTGGCGCCAGGATATAATGTGCTATACTTTTACGACCATTATGAGCTCAGTGGAAGGGCCTATTTAGAAAGTATCCATGTTTCAAGTACAATTGGGGCAGAAGAGCCCTCTATGTGAGCTCTAATGGACAACCATGAGATGCTTTTACACCAGTTTGCTGAATTTGTGGTACTGGTACAGTGGTTCTGCAGAGTACACTACTACCTAGCTAGTAGGAAGCATGGTCGAAGCTTAACTCTCGTCTGGATGAGTGCATCCACAGCTATCAGCTGTCCATTCCAAGAAGAGTCGGGATCGAGCAAGAATGCACAGCACTCGACCTTGCTCATCTATCCTTGCTGCCGATTATCGGTACTACCAAGCACAGTGCCTCCACCCCACCCCACGAGGTTTCCACAACAACCGTTCGGTCTGTTTCAATTCTCACGTTAGATAGGTAGACGATAACCTAACAGCACCCATGTCGTCCGATAAGAAGCCCACAGACGATGATAAACCTGGAACCACCGGTCTCAATGAGGACGAGGTTGGAAAACTTGGCGACCAATCTGGTGAAAATGCAAACGAAGAACCATCTAGCGAATCTCCCAGAACACCAACTCCCGCCTCTGTTGCTGCTATGCCAGGAGATGGCGGAGAGAAGAAGCTTAGTTCAAACGAATCGATGCAAACGGACGAACAACCCAGCCCTGCTTCTGGTATCGCTGCCTCTGGTGCCACAAAGGCATCAGCCAGCACGCCCGCCCCGCAAACGGATCAGGTAGACGAGAAGGAGAAGAAGAAGAATACCGTGGCGTCTCTTCGTGATAACCTTGCTCGAGCCAGTGGTAGTAGCACTGCCTCGTCTTGTCGAATCTCCCGCTCGGAGCGTCTGAGCAACACGTCTTGCGATGGTGACGACTCGAAGCGGCGCAACAGTGGCATGGATCCTTCCCTTCGCCCTGGGGCGTACTCCCAGGCTCCTGGACAGGAGATGCAACGGAATGATACGGTAGAATACAAGGTATACTACGATCCCAGTCGTCTTAGTAGTCAGTCACTCCCAGAATTCAAGGAACTAGACGCAGAAGAAGAAAAAGAGGAAATCACTTCGCCATTCGAAGAGGACGACGATCGAAAACCTCCGGCAAGAAAAAGTTATCCTGATAAGGCCAAGAAGAGTGATCCTGATAAGGCCAAGAAGGGCGATCCTGCTGCCAAGAAGAACGCTCATGATGCAAGATTGAACGATCCTGCTGCCAAGAAGACAGGTCCCGATGCCAAAAAACAAGATCCCACGATGGCCAAGCAACTAGATACTCCGTCGTTGGGAAGGGTAACGTCCGCACCTCAGCCTTCCCGTCTGTCAAGAGAATCACTAGAGCTGAGGAAAGCGGCACTCTCTCTCACTCTGGCTTCGTGCCGAAGCTTGATCACTAGCTCCTCCACCAAGACCATTTCCAGCATTTTAGAACACGAAAAGTCTACCGAATTCACAATGGACAACAACGCCGAGCTTTCCGTTCCTGATCCTACAAGTAATTTCAATCATGCATATTTTGGTGATATTGAGACTGCCTTGGGCGCTGAAACCGATCATACTATGGATATGACCGAGCACACGAGCTCTTCACTACCTGTTGCAGCGGAAGTGGTCAAGTCTCCGGATGCACTCGAAGAAGAAATTCGAGAACGCGTGGTTGAAGAACTCGCGAATAGCTGCACCTTTGCAGAAGCGGTTAAAGCTGAAGGAGAAGCAGAAGCTACCAGCAAACAACGCTCTTGGCTGGTTACTGTTGTCGTGGCAGTGCTAGTAGTCGTTGTTGTGATTGTGGTTGGCGTTGTGCTAGGAGTTGTTCTTTCTGGGACCGATGATCCTGAGGAGAGCAGGAGTACAAGCACCAACACGTTGGCACCTACTGTTGTTGCAACCACGACTTCGGATGTTGTGGCGAAACAGAATGATACCAGTGTGTTCGCAACAAATGCCACTGAAACTTCCAGCGTTCTTGATGACAGCCAAGGCAGCAACAAAGATGATGATGACTCTGTATTATCATTGTTGTCAGACAACAGCACCATTGCAGTCATTCCTGAGACTATCTGCTATGAGAGGGCACCTATGATGGGATGGAGTGCTGTTTGCGAGCCTCAAACCATCGGTAGTGCTGTTACTAATTTGGTTGCGGCATCTCGTCTGTGGAGCATACCTGAGGCCAACATCTCCATTCTCAATGCCGGCGAGGTGAAATCTGACATGTTGGAGGGAAACTTTACGTTGGGAATGGCCAAAGACGTGCTACCCTACCAAAGTAATACACTTGTTGCAGTCCAGCTGGAAGGTGCCTACATCAAGATTGTCTTGGAACGTGGGCTTCAGCGTCTGTTTGATGATATTGATCTCTTCCAAACGGTTGGTCGAGCCTTCTCAGGTGGCTCTTATCCCTATGCAGCTGGTATCCGCTATGCTGTTGACATGACTCAGCCCTTTCCGCGGCGCATGTCCAATATTGAAGTCTACACAGGATCATCAGTGCTACCACCGAGTGCGAATGACGACGACTCATTGTGGGCGCCCATACAAATGGAAGGAGTTGTGTACACAGTAGTGACAAACTCATACCTGGCAAGTGGTGGTGATGGTTTCCATGAGTTCAATAGCCGAGACTTCTACCGCAACGAAACAGAATTGAATTCACTTGAGGAATTTGTGGCTTACTGCCAAACCCAAGAGATCCTTCTGACTCCCTCACAAAGCCATTTCTCAACTCAATCCTACTCTCACGATCCAAGCATCAAGTACTGTGGTTGTGATACAGGTGTCTACAATGAATCTACGAGGATATAAACAAGCACTTGTAACTACTTATTCTAAAGGTTTCGTGTAATGCATGAATAAATTTGTTCCGAGCTCTCCCAGAATGACCTGTACATGTGGGTTTCCTTAAACATCCACGTACTTGCTTTCAACATTCTCTGTGGCACATGTAGTCTCAACCAGAGATGTATCTGCTGTGCTTTCTGACTCATCTTCATCCATGTCAATCATACAGCTGGACCCGCTGAGTGATGCCTGGTTGTCGCAAGATCCAGGACGTGCGTTCTCCATCCAGAACGTTTGCAGCTTGCCCTTCCCTAAAACGGGTAGCAGCAGCAAAAACAACACATGCGTTCAGTAGTGATTTCTTTCGTCAACACATACCAGCCAATTCAGGCTTACCTTTAGCCTCGATAAGATCTTCTCGGGCTGTGAACCAGTTGTCTTTTCCTTGGCCACATAGACTGTCAGCTGTTTCCATTGAGATTTGGATTTTCCCCTTGAGTCCGTTCGATTCCATCCTAGCTGCCGTGTTGACTGAAAGAAGATTCAAGAGTCAGTCAATCCAGTTCCGTCTGTTTCTTCTCTTGTAAGCCTCCACCTTCCAAGAAACATACCTGTATCACCAAATAACTAAAGATTACAGCAAAGAATCATGCCAAAAACCATGAGTGTCAAACGCAGTCAAATCCAGGGGGGGGGGGGCGCCTTGAACAACCTACCTGGAAGCGTGCCTTTTCTCCCCTAAGCACTCCTGTTGGACCACCGCGACTATCGTGTGAGGCTATGTTGTTTGATGCATTGACAGTTACGTGTTTTCGAGGTCTCACCTGCCGTCACTGGACCGGAGTGCAAGCCGATTCGGAGATCCAGGGTTCCTATCCGGGCCGATGATAGAGCAAAAACTTTGAGCCTTTTGCGGCGAAAGTCATCAGCAAGCATGCATTCCTGGCCTACCTGTATCTTCACCAAGCGAAGACCGAAGGGACTTGGTCACGTCACGCATCTTGTCCCGTGTATCCCAAGCAAATTTCGCCATTGCTACTGCATGGTCTTTGTGTTGCTTAGGGATGCCTGTAATGGCAACTTTGAGATATTATCAGGCAACAGGCAAATAGTTAGCAGACAATTGTCTCTGGCAGGTTGAAATCTTCTTCAGTAACCTGTATCTTACCATAGCAATCTCCAATCGTTTCAACTGCAGCAAAACGAAAGGGGATAAGGACATTTTGTAAGCATCAAGGGGACTGGTTGCGTGCTGTTCAAGGGTTCATTGGTACCTTTAAAAACACGCCTCCGCTTGGCAATCCGATCGAACTCCGAGTAGATTGCTACGAAAGAGAGGTGGAGTGAGTGAGGTCTGCATGCTGGGAGTCTGCAGCAACCAAACAGAAACATGATAAACTCTACCTTCCAATAGCCGGAATACATCCACTGGCTGCCGGGATGAGGACCAAGCAGTGAAGCCAGCCTAGTGATGCAATAGTAGAGCAACGTTTAGTCCTGTCATTGAACAAGCAGCCAACCACTCATGCACTTACAATATCCGCAAAGTACACAGTGCACTCTGGGTAGAGATCAGCTATTGGGTCTGCCTTCTTCCTGCAACTGGCAGGACATTCACTGATTGTAGATAGGCTCTGCCGTTCACTGTTGTTTAGAAAGTTGCTCAGCGGATCCATTGCCTTCTTTGTCTGCACTTTTTTCTCTTCCTGTTCCTCCATTAGCCGATTCTTGACATCGTGCGGGAAGAGCGATGCTACAATTGCATTTGTGTTTGTGGCATGGCCAACCACCTTTTTGTTGCGCTTTGCATTGAACCAGTCATAGATGACAAAGGAAATTATCATGACAGAAAAGGTTGCAGCCATGACCAGTGCCATAGTCCAGGGAAGACTTGACATACAGTTCCCATGGAAGGGATCTGAGGAATATACGTGATACGAATAGTGGCACTCCCCGTTGACCGGATCAGAATTGGGGTCATCAAAGGGTATGACTGCTTCAGTATCAGAATAAGCTGGGTCGTGGAAGTCTCCTTCTCCAATGTAATATGCTGAGTTGCCATGGAGCTCGTATGTCCATGCCTTGCCACAGCTGTTGCGTAAAACACAGATGATCCCATCAACACCTTCAGGTAGTAGGTTGACAAGATAGCGATCCCACGTTATCACCACTGCAAAGGTCCCAACAATTCTTGATTCTGGATCGTGGAGCCTCTCAAACACGGGGACCATGACTGCCGAATGTGGATGCATAAAGGCAGACTCCCCTTCCTCATTAACATAATCTACCAATGAGGCATGGTAGGCTTCATGGTCCTCAAGCTTGATGGCACGGTTGGCAAGATTCTCAACTGCAACAGTGTCTGTCAACACCAAGCGCCTTGCTTCCATGACAGCAGAGACTTCTTTCTTCAAAACCCAGGGAGCAGGGTCACTGTTAATAAAGGAGGGATTGAAAATAGGGGGAGACACCATCCAGGCAGGATAGTATGGGCCTTCTCCATAAGTTGGAGCAAGGATGATCCCACCCTCCTTAAAGTTGGGGATGTATGGGTGTGGTGCAATGTCACCATCCATAAAGTCAATGGGTTTGACAGAAGACCCTTTTGGCTGCAATTTGAGAGCCGTAGCTCGGCTCATTGCTAAATTGGTCTTGTAGTTCGACTGGGTGTAGTTGTTCCATGCTTCTAGCTGGTCTTCTTCCACCCTGGCATGCCAATTGATCATCTCTGCACCAGTGGTGGAGCGAACATGAGCAGCCATAGTTTCAAACATGGGAATGGATACAAAAGGAAAGGTTTCATCCAAAGAATCAGCTGATTCAGTAATAGTGTCTGAGAAGGCACTAAAGGACACGAACAGGTTGGATGAATGAAACTCGGCAGCACTTCGGATGATTTGAACAACTTGATTGTACTACCGGGTCATCGAGGGCAAAGAGGCGGAAATTGAGAGGGAGTTGTTTGGATGAAAAACTCTGTACCGGTTCTGTACTACTGTAGCAATGCTGTTGGCAAGGACAAACTTACGGCGTTTTTGTAGGTGTTCTCTTCATCACTTCTCATAATCTTATAGGATCCTGCCGACACAACACATGCTGTCAGTAAAAGTAAGAAAACAACGAGAGCCTTCCAGAACCGAATTTGTTTGGTCTCGTTCCTCGTAAGGTTGTTCACTTCATCCTGACCGCACTCAACATGATCTTGATCATGGCTGTAGTTTGATTGAGAAGCACCTAGGTGTCCCGAGGAGAAGGCGCCAGACATGGCACTGGGTGTACGGGCTGAAGTCATTGCGGTCTTTAAAGTACGGTAGGATGCTGCTTGTTGTCGGACTGTGAAAAAAGAGACGAAGTGTTGGAAATGAAGGTTTGTGGGCGCAAGATTGCGGGCAAAAGAGAAAGGTGCCTCGATCGAGGAGTTCAGAACTTTTGAAAGAGCCAGAGTTTGAGAGACACTCGAGTTGCCACTGGCCAAGCGGTCGACTGAACGGCGCTAGCTAGCTAGGTATTTTAAAAAATAGTCCAGTTCCGGTATCGTGCAAAATGAACTCGGAGGAGCCTTGAAAGGCACTTTGACCTACAGTGACATTTGAAAGGGTCATCGGAGCTTTTATAGAACACTTTTCCAACTAAAAAACCGCAGAGGAGCACTCGAGTACCGGTACATTATAACCACATACATGATTATCAGATGATCAGATCTGTGACAACAGTCGTTCAATGTTCAACGTTGCAGTGAAAACCAAGGTACGTTTTACCGTTGTTTATTGTCTACCGGTACCGAGGAAGACCTTATTGGATCGCTTTTTCATCCGAGATGCCAGTAGAAAGAACGAGAAAAGATCCCGTTTTGCCTACGGTATCTTCCCGACTTCCCGACCACCAACAGAGCCACATCTCTTTCGCAGCGTCCAGTGGTCGGACAGCCAGCTACCAGTACTAGTAGCAAGCCCACTGGTACTAAAGAGCAGTAGCAAGCTTGGGTAGCACGGTAGCACCCAGCCACGCCGCTCATTTACGTGGCTGTTGGCTGGTGCTTCAAGCGAGCAATGAGCAATACAGCCAAATTCTTTCGACACCCGAACACCGCTCTCTCTTTCGAGTTCTTTCTTCTTCAAGTAGATGACGTCTCATCATTCTATTGGCTATTCCAGTAGACTACAAGTATGTACTGTACTGATGAGTAGAACCCAGATTTGCAGCTATTTTGACATCTGCTATTTGTGCAAATCTGCTTAGTTTGAGTAGACCTGGCTTCAGCATGTCCGATTTCCCGCTCGAGGCTCATCTATCTGTCAGCATTCAGGGCTTCCTTGCTAGCTAGTTGCCGTGGTTGGCGGTGGCTCGGATTAAAGAAATAATTCCCCAAAGAGTTCTGAGAAGCTAGTAAAGCCGACGGAATTTCGTGTATGCATAGATACATGACACATACATGTACATGTTATGTTGACCTGGAGAGGCTTAATAAATTAATTCAGGGAGCAACAGAATTACAGTACTCCGAATACAGTTGGAACCATGCGATTCTGATTCACTTATTAGTCTATTTAACAACAATGAACTCACCTGTACTCCGAGCTGCAATTCAATCGCCAATGACAGTGGCTACTATATATTAATATAATAGTAGAGCTGTGGCTACCGGTATAGTGTAGAGGATTGAACCGCAAACGCTAGCTAGGGTCAAGCGTAGCGTTTAATTAAACGCTAACAGGTCCCCTTAGCGTTTGTTATTATGCGTTTTTTAGCGTTTTTTATGACTATGATCTCAGCATTTTTGTTAGCGTTTTATTAGCGTTTTGTTACCGTTTTGTTAGCGTTTTTGCAGTAATGGTGCACTACAAATAGAGTGCTACCAATGTAAGCACCAGTACCACCATCCAGATTGTTCATCCTTATGTGATTGTAAGTGGAATCTGCATAGAGTAACACTGAAAACAGAGAAAAACGCTGAACAAAACGCCAAAAACGCTGTCAATGTATGTGTATACACAAACACGCTAATAAACGCAAACGCTTGGGGCTAGCGTACATAGCGTTTAAAACACTACGCTAAAACGCAAAAAACGCAACGCTAAAACACGTTGCGGTTCCAACCTCTACTATAGTGGCTATTGCTCCATTGCTCCTAGCTACAGTCGTAGTTAAATAAGGAACCAAAAAGAACTCTGAACTTTTAGATTTCTCGGGGACCGGTACACTGTACCGGTACACTGTAGTACAGTACTGTACTAGTAGCTAGTACATGTAGCCAGCAGAGTTCTTTTGTGTTCATGTCTTCACAAACTTGAACCCGTGAGTTGTGTTTCCGTCAGACATGAGGATGATAATGCAACTCGTGCTAGCTAGAACAAGGAGCCGCATAGCAATGGCTTCTCGCCTGTCTCCCGCCTGGCCCATGGGTATGCCGGAAAATGATGGCTAGATTGTGGAAGCAGCGAACAATAATTGTCCTACTAGCTAGAGGCGATTTCATTTACGACTGCGATGAACTACACCGTATCTGACGAAACGTTGCCACTGATTTCGAAATACAGCGTAGTGCAGAAAGGCTGTGATTGCCCAGGGGTAGAAGGGTACCGTCGCGTACCGTGCGGCACGGAAATTTTCTGGAAACGGAGTCTGTGCACAACAATACTTTCCGGTTGGGCTGGCTACGGTAGCAATGCTGCTTCTGAACTCTTTGCTCGTTAGGAGGGCGTGCGCCGCACATTTTCCAGCCAGAAAGTTTGCATTTTGCCTTTTCCTGTTCCCAAAAACCACGACGCAACACCAAGTAAGATGGCCAGGTTAGTTGGCAATGGCCATAAAAAACAACATCTGAACATACCTTTGGCCTCAATGAGGTCTTCTCGTGGGGTCAACCAACCGCCTTTGCCTTGCTCACGTCGACTCTGTGCTGTAGCCTCAGAGAGTTGGATTTTCCCCTTGACTCCATTGGATTCCATCCTCGATGTAGTGTTGACTGCATGCATGTATACCAGTAGTGGGTGAGTGAGGAAAAGGTTGATGGTGGAATTCCGTGTGGAGGGGAAACGTACCTGTATCACCGAACAACTATTCACAAGGAAACAAAGATAAGCATTGCAAACCGAGAAGGGAGCCGGAAATGCCAAGAGCCACCTACCTGGAAGCGTGACTTTTCTCCTCGAAGGACTCCTAAAATTTGCCACACAAGGCAGGTGAGATCGTCCTTGCCGGGCTGTGGAGTGTTTTGGGGTTAAAGGCGTACCTGCTGTGACTGGGCCAGAGTGCAAGCCTATTCGAAGATCCAGGTTTCCTGCCGGAGTCACAGGGAAGTGGGCACAGCCGAGGTTAGTCTTGTGAGAAGCATCCCCTGTTTGTCTCAAGTTTTCTTACCAGTATCTTCCCCCAGCGTCGACCTAAGTGTATTGGTTGAATCACGCATCCTGTCTTGCGTACCGGTATCCCAAGCAAATTTCGCCATGGTAACTGCATGGTCTTCAGATTGCTGGGGGATACCTGTAATGACAACTGTTGGTTGGCATTTTCAAAGAAACGGCATACAGTGAGATTGGGATGACACACGCACCGTGTGCGGCTGATGTTTGCTTACCATAACAATCTCCGATAGTCTCCACTGCCAGACGAGGAACAAGAAAACTCAGTTGGAAGATTTGTTGGTACCAGGCCAACTAGTTGGAGGCAAGATTGGTCATACCTTTGAAGACACCTCGTCGCTTGCAGATGAGATCAAATTCTGAGTGAATAGCTATGCAAGAGAATTCAAAAGAGTACCATGGTAAGGAGTATCCCAATGAGCGACAAAAGACACCACGGAACCTTACCCTCCAACAGCCTAAATACATCAACTGGCTGCCTGGAAGAGGACCAGGAAGTGAAGCCAGCCTTTCACAGCACAGCAAAACAGAGTGAGCTTTTCAGTGAGGGCGGAGCAACAAGCACCACAACTCAGTGGAACACATACAATGTCAGCAAAATAAACTGTGCAGTCAGGATATAGATTGGCAATGGGGTCGGACTTTGTTATCGGGTTGCTGCTCCCCTCGTCACCCTCCAGCAGCCCAGAGGTCTGCATTTCCGCAGTGTTCAGAAAGTTGCTCACAGGATCTGCTGACTTCTGAAGCTGACGTTTTTTCTCTTCTTCCTCCTCTAGTAAACGGTTCTTGACATCAGAAGGGAAGAGGGAGGATACAATTGCATTTGTCTTGGTGGCATGACCAACAACCTTCTCATTTCTCTTTGTGTTGAATCGATCGTAAATGATAAATGTAATTATCATGATGGCAAAGGTAGTAGCCATAATCAGCATCAACGCCCAGGGATGATGGGATTGGAATTCCTCCTCAAACTCCTTTGTTGCGTATATGTGGTATGAATAGTCACACTCCTTATCCACCGTTTCAGTGCCGCTTTGCCGAGAAGGATCACGGAATGGCAAAACCACTTCAGTGTCAGTATAGGCTGGATCATGGAAATCACCTTCTCCTCTGTAGAATGCAGAGTTGCCGGAAAGCTCATACGTCCATGCCTTGCCACAGGTGTTGCGCAGGATACATGTAATCCCTTTGACACCTTCAGGCAGCAGGTTGACCAAATATCGGTCCCAAGGGAAAATCACTGAAAAGCATCCGACTATTGTTGACGTAGAATCATTGAGCTTTTCAAAGACCGGAACCATGACTGCGGAATGTGGATGGGAGAAGGCAGTCCCACCTTCCTCGTTAACATAATCCACCAAGGAAGCATGGTACGCTTCGTGGTCCTCAAGCTTGATGGCACGGTTAGCAAGATTCTCAACTGGGAGGGCATCCGTCAACACCAGACGATGTGCTTCATTAACAGCGGTGATTCCTCCTTTCATAACCCAAGGAGCTGGGTCACTGTTGATGAAGCTTGGATTGAAAATAGGGGGAGACACCATCCATGCAGGATAGTAGGGCCCATCTCCATAAGTAGGGGCCAAGATGATTCCTCCCTCTTCAAAATTTGGGATGTAAGGATATGGGGGGATATTGCCTTCCACAAAGTCACTGGGCTTGAGAGAGGACCCTTCCTGTTGTAGCACAAGCGCTATAGCACGGCTCCTTGCCAGGTTGGCCTTATAGTTGGTTGTGGTGTAGTTTTTCCATTCTTCCAGCTGTTCCATGTTTACCAGTGAATGCCAGATGACCAACTCCACTCCAGTGGTTGAGCGAACATGAGCTGCCAGTGCTTCGAAGGATGGAATTGTAACAAACGGGAAGGTTTCTCCCAAAGTGTCTGCTTCCACAGTTATGGAGTCAGAAAAGGACTGGAAAGAGAGGAATATGGTGGAGGCATGGAACTCGGCAGCATCTCGAATAGTTTGCACCACCTGCTTATACTGCTCAACATCGAAGGACAAAATAAGATTAGATGTGATGATGACAGCGCAAAAGATGAGTTGAGAAACTTTTGTAGTTGTCATCTTCATCCTTGTCAAGCAAGACATATGCTCCAGCAGATACCAACGCGGCAGTTACAGTGATGAGTAGAAGGACCAGAATCTTCCAAAACCAAATCTGTTTGGTTTCCTTCTCAATCGTTCCTCTCACTTCCTGCTCATTCACCTCATGGTTTCGCCTATCAACCAATGCATCATCGTAATGTAGCTGTGATGCGTCAAGATTGTCATCGACAGGCGCATCGTCCTCGCTGCTAGATCAGATCTCGTGCTTGGCCCGTCGGTCATCGTTGCTGTTTGGGTCAACAAGTTGTGACTTGTGAGAGGGGTTGTTTGCAACCAACCGAGCAGCTGCAAGCGCAAGAGAGAAAAGAGCAGATGTGCAAGAAGGAAGATCTCGAAGTGGGTTGATGACCGCGCCGGGGTACAACGAGATACATGTAGAAGATCCGGTGTCATAGATTGGGATCACAGCTGCCTCTTCTGTCTTCATGGTTTAAGTCATTTGCTGTTGGATCTTTGAACGACGCAAGAAGTGCTCCTTCTGAGGCACCCCGAAAATCTCTTCAGAAAAGGATCGTTTCGGATCTCCCGAATTCGGTTCGGTTGGTGTTTGATACCCGAATGAATAGTCCAGGCCAGCCGCACCTTGTTGGACAAGATGGCGGACTGCTGGTGGTGCAAATGGAACTACTGAAGCAGACCACCTTCGCTCGTGCTTGCTCAGCCGGCTGCGGGTTGCTGGCTTGGTAGCTAGCTAGCTAGACTGCTCATTTGGCCGAGCCATTCTCGTTGGCATTGCCCTCGTCTCCGACCACATCTCACGTGACAGGAGGAGCCGAGCTGGTGGAACTTGGCAAAGCTCACTATCTGCCTTGTCCCCTCCAAGTAACTGTCAACTCTGGATATATATATATATATATATATATAGTTGGAGGAAAGCAGCAGATGAAAAGCAAGCAACATTATTTGATTGGCTCGAGTGTAGCCGTCATCGCTCGGCAGTCCGCTACTATTGGCTACTACAATGTACTATCGTATAAAGCTCGTGTGGGGGTGCCAGCAAGAGTTTCGCCATACTACCGGTACAGCTACATGTACTAGTACGGTACCGATTTGGCGAAAGCGCTACCTGGTGCACACAGGAACGTTTTACTAAAGCAGGCAATGCATAATTTTCTGGTCGAATCGAATCGAATCCGTCCGCAAGCTTCTGCCGTCCGTGCAGTCACCACCCTGAAGAGCTTGCTCTGTTTCGAACGGAACCAATACTTGCCTCGATTGTTCGATTCATTTCGTCCCTCTCGGTCTTTTCGAGGTGCTCGAGTCTCTTGACTAGCTAGTAGTAGTCGTAGCGTAACAAAACGAGCCGTACACTTAGTTATTTACACCAAGCTTCTACTATTGCAATGTAGTGTAGTGGAACTACAGCCAACCGGTTGCTGTCTGAAATGTAAGTTTTTTTAAAAAGCTGAATTGAATTGAAAAGCAGTATTCTAGCTAGAGAGTTGTCTAGTTACCGGTAGTCTGGAGCAGCGAACGTGGGCATGTTGGACTGTCAAAAGGTGTATGTATGTATGCATTTTACGGAGGGTTTCGACTCTTTTTGTCTGGGAACTAGTTTCCCGGATCACACATACAATTGGTACATGCATGTCGATGGATTGATGTGTACTGTAACTTGGAATAGAAGAAGTTTGAACCCCGTGATTTACAGTTGCAGCGTTGGTTGTGACGAGAGACTCACACTCGCATTTGCTGTAGTAGGATTGGTAACGTTTTCCAATAAACTTTGCGCAGGATTGACATATGTCGACGGCACCAAGGATGCCTGTTCTTCCGGTGTCATGTCGACAATTTCCATGTGAATGGGATGAATATACTCTTGCGCCAGTGGACAGTAATAATGTTCTTCTTCCTCCAAGACGGTATGCCAATCCCATCCATCGGCGCGAAACTCGAGTGTGTTGCGGACAATATTGATGTGCATTTGGTCTGGTGATTCCCAGAGAAATTTCCGCGTCCGTGTGGAATACTCGTGGCGGTGGGGAATCGAAACCACGCTTACTTGCGGGTCAAAGTGGACGTTTCTTCTGTGACTATCATCGCTAGTAGTACTATCAGTAGTAGCTGGTCTGTGGTGGGTAGTAGTAGGCTGGTGGTGTTGGTGCTGAGACCAGCAGGTTGGCATGAGAAGAGACGAACTACTCAGTGCATCGTAAACCTTGTCCTTGCTGTTGCTGTTGCCATTTTCGCTTTGATCGTCTGTCTTGAGTGGCAGTCGTTGCACCTCATTGCCCAAGAGCGACTTGGCGGAGGGTATCCTTTGTTGTTGCTGCTGCTGGACTCGCAAAGCAGTCGACGACGGTGGGATTCCCAACTTGCGTAACAGATTCGAACGCAATCGTGTGGAAGAGGTTCGATGATACGAATCCACTCCTCGTCGTACCGCCACTGGTCTCTTGTGTTCCTCCTTCACTCCAGTACTAGTAGTAGTACTATTGCGACGCACAGGGTCGATATCCATGAGCACCATCGTCATGGTAGCTAGATTCTTCTTATAATACTGATTGATTTGACAGTAGTCCCAAGAAATCTATTCGTTTCGATCAATGGAAACCTGTCATCAATCTATCAACACCCAATCTCGGAGGTTAGAGAAGGCTATTGCAACTCAACCGCTACCGGGTGGTGATGAAAGTTTGACGTGACAGTGTTGGTTGCCAAGCGATGTTTGGGGTCGGTCATGGTTTCAGCCTTCTTCCTGTTCTGGATTGTATGGGGGATTGATCGTGATTGGATAGCAATTTTGGGGCTGTATCAGCGCATGTTTACAGCGTTTGGATTTTGAACGTCACTTAACAATGATGTAGGTATCCATGAATGGCAGTAAGCCTTTTAATTATTTGAAGACACAGACAGACGTTACACTTTGGATCTTCGGCTGGCTAGAGATCGATCAATCAGACCAGCAGAGCTGGAAAAAGTGTCATGGTTTCCGCAGGAAAGTGCAGGTTTTGGAAAGTGGTTCCGGAGAAAGACAACCTCCGCCAATGACATCAAGTGCGCGGCGTGAAAAGAAGCGAGATGAGTAAGCAGCAAAAGAAGCAAGTAAGCAGCAACGAACCCACTTTTGCAGTTTCCAAATGATTCGATTCTTTCAGGTGAGCAGGTGAGCATAGAAACGGTACGAGATCCCATTGGCCGACCATGGAGAAGGGGCACCAACAAGTGGGAAGCACTGCTCGTTGCTTCCCACATCCATCGCGAACTATTCAGTCGATGGACGGACTGGAAAGCTTGCTTCACGACGGAGGTTGCGCTCCTCCTGGATGGATTCAGCCATATGGCATGGTTCGAAAATGCAGCAAAGGAAGGACCCACCCTGAAGGCTGGAAGCAGCCTCACAGCGAGCCAAAGGATACACACCACCATGGATCCTTTTTTAGTTGCCCAATCAAATGGAACACCCTCTTTGCGTTTTCTAGAGAAGAAGTTACCAGAAGATACGAACAATGCCAATTGCTGGAAGAAGAAGATACAAAGCAATGGAGAGCAATCCAGGCGAGATAATGTACCGTACGGTAGGAACCGCCATGTAGCTACGGTGCCATGTACCGGTATGTAGAATAGAAGCAAGGCAGGAGCGACATGGGAAGTTCTAGTAGATGCTGGCTGCACAAAGAAGGATTCATGGATTGGTCAGATGAGAAAAGGATCCCGGAAGAAGCCTGAGCCTGTAACCGCGCTGTATTTCATGACTGATAGGGCTCTTTAAACGCAACTTCAGCCGGGCGGTAGGTTAGGTGTGCCGGTACTCTTGTACCTTACACGTACAGATATCTCTACTTGTAGATATCAGCTTCACCTCCAGCTCGCAACAGTTATATCTAGCTAGCTAGTTTGACAACTTGAATGCCTGAGCTTGGTCTCTCTTGGTCTCTCTTGGTCTCTTTTAGCACGGAGCACGGTACAGTAAAATAATGATCCAGCAGCCAGTGTCCACTTCGGCTTTCACGCTCTAATTTCATTTGTACCCATACGAGCGAAGGCGGAAGCAAATCGAATGGGTAACAACAATGGGATTACCAAGAGTTTGAGTTTAGTTATTTGTATTGGCTGGAAAAGACGAGCGGGCACCTAGCGTGCACTTGGCAAATTCAAGCGTTGCTTACAAGGTTTGGAGAAAACCTTCGACTGTGCAGAACAAGGCGTGGAGAGAGGTGAGCTCCATTTGGCAGCGAAGCAAGACCTCGTCAGAAGGACCTGGGACGTGGAAGCCCGCTCCGTCGTAGGCAGTTCCTTTGGGTGCGCGGGGACAGCTCGAAGTGCCTCCCATTCCAGTGACAACCATGAGAGTGTTGTCCTTGTATCGAATCCAACCCTTCTTGACTGCCTTATCCTTGCGATATCCAGCCAAGGCAGCAACTTGGGGAACGCCTTAACTAGAGTTGGGATGTCTGCATCATCGTCATCGTTGTTGTGTTCAACAACCGCGCAATCAATGAATCCCTCTTTTAAGTCTTGGCAATACTTGTCGATCTTCTTTGATCCCTCGGGCAAGACGACAACAGAGTGCCAAGAGTACGATGAGCCTTTCTTGATTCTAGCTGCTACGTTCAAGCAGTCGAGGTAGTGATTGAGAGATTGGGGCTTATCAGCAACGTAGATCATCCGCGCTTCGCTGATGCTTTCATTTTCCAAGTAACCGTAACAATGCTTGCGTCCTGGTTGAAAGAGATTGACTTGAGTGCATCCTTCGCGTTCAAAGATCCAGTGGTCCAGAGCCGCGTATTCCGCATCGAGGTATATTTCATGGATCCGAAACGGCTTGAAGTAACGAAGGGGCTCTGGCTTGCGGCGGGGAAAGCAGTCGACGCGTTGGTCCTTGACGGTTTTTGTTGAGAGTACCGTAAACGTGTGCTTTGTAGTTGTTCCATAGTCGTAGTTCAACACAAGCGTCGATCCTTTCTTCAATAAAGGGCTAAGTTCTGCAAGTGCTGTTGTATTGGCATCGAGACAAGGGTCTTCGTACGGACCCATGATTTCTTCGACGGTACAGGGTCAACAGTAGACAAACTTTTTCATGTTGCCTTTCTTGCCAGATTGATACCGAATGTCCCAAAGGTGGTCTTCTGTTGTTTCTTCTGGTCTAGGATTGCACACTTCAAAACCAATGTCCACAAGATCAAAAAGCGTGTTAGTAGACAGGACTTCTACCTCAGCGGGAGAATTATCAACGGAAAAGGTGAAGAGTTTGGCCGCGGTAGTCATGGTGGACTGGTGCCTTCAAAGCTTTGATTGTTTGCGAGAAATGAGGTTGTTCGCAAGGCGAAGGTGATTGAGTTGTTCGAAGACGAGCTTTCGGCGACAAACAAGCAACTCGTGCTTTGCAAGAAAACTTCGAGCAACGGTTTGCACGACGAGTTGTGCGGAACAGTTGCAAACGTCGCAATTCCAATTCGCTTCATCATCGATTCGACTCGATTCGTTCGATTCAATCGAAATTAACTTGAATGATTCGTTCGATTAGAGTCGAGTCGAATGAATCTTCAATCGACTACCACGGTGTATTCATTAAGCTGCCTGTCCCGCTGGGGCTACATGTAGTTTGCATGCCAGCCTCCAAGGCAACCTCCCAGTGCTTTGGATACCTCACGATTTGGAAACTTTCAAACATATCGATCGTGCGTGAGCCCTCTGGTACTTTGCAGGAAGAAAATTGACGTGATGCAGTAACTGTTCAAGGGAGCGACGCACCCCATGCATTAGTAGCACGCCATGCAGTATTGGGGACGATGCGGCTTGAAGAATCGCACAGCCGTCCTGTTGGGTCAATGCCAAGCAGCCTTCCTTCTTAATAGAGCCAGAAGGTGATGCCACACTCTAAAATGCATGGAAGCGAAATGATGTGGTGTTCTTAGAAGCAAGAAGCTCAACCTTAGCTCGCTTGTCAAGCTACCTACGTCGTGCTTCTATCCGTCGTGCTTCTATCCATGCATATCCATCATAACCAGCACATTGCCCATTGGGCGGGCTATCTGGCTTGTAGTCTGCACAGGTGAGGATCCAACATCATCACACAAGTTAGTGGTTTCTTGCTGGTCCTAGTCTAGTCATACTTGTGCCTGTAGAACAGGGAACAGAGGGGAATTTAGGTGGACTCGACTCGGCTCGTTTGATCAACATCTCACCATTCACAGAACGACTGTGCTTGTTTGGCAAGTGATAGAAGTTGTCTAAGTCAAGAGGACGCCTCTTTCCAGACACACCAGTTTTTGGCATATTATTCAGCAGGTTTCCTTTGCTGCTCCTTACCAAGCACGAGAACCGCAAAGAACATATTATTGTGACTCTTCTTTCAAGCTTTTATTAAGGCTTCTGAGGCCCTTGGAGTTGAGCACAATCACTGTGATTCAATCAGTACGTACGGAAGTGGGAAGGAGGGTTTTTGAGTTTCGCGGATCATGCTTCTCATAAATTTGCCATTCCGCAAAAGCAACACAATAATCAAACCAACCAACTCTAACCAAACAAAAATGATGTACGTTCTACCCCGCCGTGAGCCAATGCTCATCAACACCATCAAGATTAGCCGCAAGCGATCGCGAAACCAATCCATCGAAGCGGAGGCTACCGCTGCGTCCAAGAAACGGCGTGTGGCCGTCAAAACCGTCAGGTTTGCCAACACTGACACGGTAGAGATCATTTCATCGGATGACACCAGTAGTCCTTCTAACAACTGGATTACAAAGAAGGACATCGTCCGATTCCATGTGGACGTCAAGCAAGATGTCGTGTATTTGGCCGGGCTTATGAAACAAAAGAGAATGCATGACTTTGACCAAACTAAGCATTGCTCGGTGGGGGTCGAAAAGTACTGCCGCACCGCCGCTACACGAAGCCAACGACAGGCGTCGAACATGCAACACTTCCGATCAGTTCTCAACCTCCAAGAAGCGCAGCGAAAACTGGGTATCTCAAACCCTGAAGCAATTCGTCAAATTGCAGAAGAGACTTCCCAGGAATCTAGACAGCGAGCGATTTCGCTTGCTGCTGGTCTCTGGAAGAGACCATAAATTGTGCATAGACAACGGCGTTCATGTATCGCATACCAATCAGAATAACATCCGTAAATAGACAACCGCTACCATGTAACTCGAATGGCAGATCCTCCACTAGCTAGTCCCCAGCGTTTATCATTCATCTAGTATGCAAACAACGCCGGCTGCAGTTGGGAGTTCCCCTGGTAGTCGAAGTACACATAAGGGAAGGATTGGGTTTTTCTAAATAACTTCCGTAATCACAAGAGTGTATCAAGTCAACACATGATCATAGTAGCTATTATAGTTCATCATGCTGTTGGCAACAAATATTGCTCGCCATTTTGCCTTGAAGTGCAACCTCAAGATTGCTTTGTTGGCAGCACGACTGCTACGGCGAAGAAGCGCCTTTCCTCTGCCCAGCGAGACTGGACCGATGAAAGCCGCGTCTTGCAAAGTTCGGCTTTTGCAGGTACGGTACGTTCATGCGTTCATGCTTCATTCCCCGTCGAAGGCAGGTCTTTTTCAGCATGTCTCGCACGGAGTAGAGTACATGTCGGGGGTTTGAATTGCTGCAACCAGTGGCATCCTAACGGATTCAATCATGACATCCTCGGAGTTGATACTAGTTTCGGTTGGCAGCTTCTGCTTGGTTCTCAAGCGAATGATCCAAATGTATTGCTTAAGCTTATTATGTCACCTACAACTTTACTAAATAGAAGATGTTTTCTCAATGCACTCAACATTTATAATCTCAACAACGAAACAATCAAGGGGCATGGTTGCGATGCAGGGAGGGCTTAAATGTCGACAATGTGGCTCTCTTCGACGTAGGCGGGCAAGACGCATGGGGAGTTGGAGGTGTCTTCATGGTCAGTAATATTCTTGCCGTTGAAAGACGAGTCATCATCTTCAGCGTTGGCAATGCCATGGGCCACCAGACCAGCCACAACAGCATCTCCTGTGACGTTTGTGACTGTGCGGCAACGATCCATGAACCAATCAATGGCCAAGATGAAGGAGAATCCATCAGGGGTACCCGTTGTACCAAAGACAGTGTTGTAGGCTGTGATGATGAGTACCAAGCTAGCAGAAGGGACTGGAGCAGTACCTGCACTTCCAATTGTGGCAAGCACACAGAGCAAGACGTAATCGCCGAATTGAGGAGTGATTCCATTCAAGATGGCAAGCCAGACACAGGCACAAGGGAAGTAGATGGCTGAGCCGTCCATGTTGATTGTGGCGCCTAATTCAGCAAATTCAAGTCGAAAACAAGATTGGCGAGAGGAATGTGAGGCTTGGCTACATCCGAGGCAGAGAACGTTTTGCGGGAGCAGTTGCTCAACTTACCCATTGGAATCACAAACTTTGCAACTGAATCAGGGACCTTGCCTGTGTCCTTGACAGATTGCAATGTCACGGGGATCGTTGCAGCACTGCTGGAGCAGGCAAAGGCAGTGGTTTGGGCTGGAAGGAGATGCTTGAGATAGTTGAAGGGATTGCTACGGGTAAAAGCAGCGAAGAGGCCCACATAAACCAAAAACACTTGACCAATCATGGCAACACTTGTTGCTGCAACCAAATATCCAACATTCTCAAAGGATTCTTTGAGGTTGTCTTGTGCACCGATGGCATTGGCAATGAGTGAAAGCACTGCAAAGGGTGTGACCATGATGACCCAATTGATCAATGTCAAAAGGACATCATCCACTTCCTTCAAGAACTTGACAAAAACAGACTCAGACTCAGAGATATGCTTCTTTTGGAGGACCCGGGCCAAGGCTGCTCCAAACACGATGGCAAAGATAACCACAGCTGCGAAGTTGGCTTCCACAAAAGAGGCAAAGATGTTGCTTGTTACAAGCTTGGTGAAAACACCATCATAGATCGTGTCACTCATGCTGATGTCATCTTGTGGTCCAGAAGAGGTTGTCTCAAAAGTGTTGTCAACATCTGTGATGATGAAATAGTTGCTCATACCATCAGTATGGTTTGCAGAGCACGCGACTGAGCCATCAGCAGCATGGGACAGGTAGCTGCCGTCCTCGGTACTACAGGCTAGTTGAACCCTGGATTGAGAGGCCCCTTCGGGTTCACCTTCTTCAAATAGACCCTTGAAGCTCAGAATGGAAATCAAGCCAAGAATGCTTGCGCAAAGCGTCGTCAACATGTAGAGTCCGATGGTCTTCCACCCGACAGCAGATGCGCGGCCTGCAGCCATCATGTCCAGAACAGAAAGAACAACATTCACAAACACTAGAGGCAGGACTACTGCCTTGAGTGCTCTGATGAACATGTCCCCAATCAATCCAACCTAAGTTGGGAGAAGAATTGAAAGACGAAAAATTAGCGTGATGCCACTCAGATGAAACCGCTAACTCCATGAAAAGAACGACACCGTTGCACTTACCCACTTGATGGCTGTGTCCTTGTCCTGGGGATCTTCCGGCTCCCAATAGCTTAGTCCAAGTCCAAGCCCAATTCCAGCAGCTGCAAAGGCGAGGACAGAAAGTACAGGGTATCTGCCCAGCACACCACATCCTGGCTGCGAATCAGAGCCACACGATTGTTCTTCAGATTCAGCGTCGCTGAAGGAGACTCGTTTCTCTTGTTTGGTAGACATGATAAGGTTGATAGTTTTTGTTTTGTTTTGTTTTGTTTGTGTGTTTTGTTGTTGAGAAGATCTCGAAGGCGAATTGTGAGCGGAAAGAGAGTGGCTGAAAGCAGAGCTCAAGCTTGGTAGCAAGGCTGACATGCGATTCCCAAGCAAGAAGTGTGTCACGTTGTTTCCCTTTTGACACGGCAGACGGCACACCCTTAAACAATGGATTGAAGTATGCTGTTTACCTGCGATCCTGTTGGATCCGTCAAACATTCCTCGTACCATGCATAGACGCCGTACATGTAGTCTCCAAACTCACACACACATGACCGAATCAATCGGATCTAGCTTGCTTCTTCGAGCAGCTTCCTACCAGAGTTGTTAGAGCTGTTGTTAGATAGTGGGTGTGGGAAAGCAAACGGCCAAGTAAGACTCTGCTGGATATCAGAAATCATGTTAAGCTGTCGGATTCCAAATGAACTGCTGTCGAACCTTGATAGCTTGACAGCTTGACGCCTGGTCTCCAATAAGCTCAGGCCTCTTGACAACTTGACAGTCGTTGCTCCTTTCCATCAGTTTTGTTGCGCTCCTACTGCGCAGGACCCACGAATCCAACGACTTCCTGGTTGCGAGAAGCTCCTAGCAGTTCGCCTAGCGTTCAATGGATTCGATTCAACACATGGGCACTTCCGCAATATTGGCTGGTATGGAACATTGCACGCTCCACGAGCACAAGGTCACTGCATCAACCAAATATCCTGTCGAAAGAAGCTTATTCCTGGTTTGACGCCAAACAGCCCACTCCCCGCCGCCAACCAGTTACAAGACATTCCTTCCAGCAACCAGCGTGAGAAACGTATCAAGTATCAAGAACCTGCTAGAAGTTGCGCAAACTTCTTGATCTTCATTGACACCAGCAAGATGCGATGAGACTGATGACGAGATGGTGAGCAGCAGATTCCTCGCTCACTGCCTTGGGACTGAGGACCTTCGTGGTGACAAGTTATCGTGCAAAACTAAGCCAACCAGGTACTCTAGATTGAATCATTCGATCATTTCGGGAGGAGGCAGACCATTTGTGTTCCAGCTTTTTCCCATGAGGATCATATGTGTTCGGTACCAATCAGTTAGATACCCAGCAGTACTGTACACTTCAGAAAGCAAATGTCAGCCCTTCACCAATCACGGTGTTCAAAAGCATCCCAAGCTCAGACTCAGATAGATGACAGCATTGATCAAAAGCCACTGACCATACGCTAACAGGTACTGGTACCCGTAGAGAGCCACTCAGTACAAAATAGAATTAGCACTTCTTCTTTGCTTGGCCTGGCTTCCGTAGATTTATTAACCTCGGCAGGTTAACTGCCTGAGTCCTCTACCCCTTTAATGGCAAATATTCTGTCTGTGGGATCCCCCTGGTTTTTGTCTGTGGGATCCCCTCGTTTTGTGTCTGTGGGATCCCCCTCATTTCCTGTCTGTGGGATCCCCTATTCCGGTGAAGCCAGGGTATAAGGATAGAGATAATGTAAGCTGGCAAAACTGGAAATTGAGGGTTCAAAAAAAGTTAGGGGTAGGAATATATCAATGTAATTTAAGGTTAGTGCACTCAGGACAAAAACACAATAAGCCAGCAGATGTTGTAAATTTAGAGTTACACGATCGAATGATAGCTGTAAATTATGGGTTAGCCCGTGGCAACGCCAACGCTAGCTTAATATAAAATAGAAGATTACAATGAGGGAATGATAGTGGGCGGCAACACACGACGAACCTCCATCAACTGTGTATCTTCGATGCAGGAGCAGGTGAGTGATACGTACAAGATTGGATTCGATTGAATCATTCATCATTACCTCGGCAGTCTATCTGCCTGAGCCCTCACCCCTTTTTTTGGTATTTCCTGTTTCCTGTTTCCTGCTTCCTGCTTCCTGTTTCCTGTTTCCTGTTCCGGTGAAGCCAAAATATAGGGATAGAGATAGGCACAAGCCAACTCTACAAATTTAGGAGTAGGAATAAATCATGATTAGTCAAGGTTAGTGCACTCAACACAATAAGCCAGCAGAAGCTACAAAGTTACAGGTACGTACGGGAGTGACAGCTGTAAAATTATGGTTAGTGGGCGGCAACACACGACGAAGTCGGGTGTTGTCGCCAGGGCTAGCCTAAATAAAAAAGAAGGTTATAATGAAGGAATGATACCGGGCGGCAACACACGACGAAGTCGGGTGTTGTCGCTAGGGCAACCTTGAAAGAAGGGTGCAATCTCAAACATGTCATCATTCTTCTATCTGTCTTTCTGCCGAGGTATCGCAGCTCCCGCTGACTTATTTAAAAAACCAGCAGGACTTTGACGGCCAAGATTTCACACCAGTGAAGATGACGTAGATGGGGTAAAACAGATCTTGTACATTTTCTCGTAAGGTAAACGTTAACATTAACTCTAAACATATTCCATCTACCCAGCCATGCAGCAAGCCAAGAAAGTCTTGCAGTTCTCGGTTCCGCGCGCTGATCACTCATTAGCGGACCATGCATCGGCGGTGGCGGTGTGGCTGCCCATGCAAGCATAACCTTATCAAAAAATGTTGGATGTCACTCCTAAAAGTGGCACGGTGTCTCTTCGATCAATTCAACAACAATTGAGAGTAAAGGAAGAGGTCTAATCTGTTGTACCGTTGTACTGGTACCTGAACGCCATCGAAGCGGAAACATGAATACGTCCAACCAACAGCGAAACAATGATCGCGGATACAACGGTGATATCAATGGAGACGACGATACTCTTGTTATGGATACCGCCCAGCTCAATAGTGATGGTTCTGTTGCGGAAGGAAACTTGGGTGTGTCAACAGAAGATACCAATGAGCTGCACTACGCTAAAAGCTAGTGTAAAGATCTTTCGAGTGTTTTGAGTTTGAGAGAATGAAAGTTATGAGAGGATTAGAAAGCTATGAAAAACTAATCAACGAGAGAGATCCACAATCAAAGGATCGTAGATCTGAACTCCCGCGGGAGACTGTAGAGTGTGATAGAGTAGGTTGCGGTAGCAATCCTACTCACTCCACGATCCAAAAACGGAACGCGTGGAAGATCGTCTAGCATTTATCTAGTAGCGTGGAAGTACTCCACGCTGGCTAAATATCTAGAGCGATGTTTCATCATCAACCTAGTTGACTAGAGCGGTCATTGAGAATTCTGTCTCCAATGACTATTAGCGAAGGACTATGTCATGAGTCGAACTCAGACCCTATCTAGGATCGAGTCGCGAATAAGGCTAAGAGCCGTGTATTGCAGAGCCACTGGAATTGCAAAACGCCAGAATTGAACACAAGCCGCATGGGTCTCTTTACTTCCTGCCAACAAAAAGTCAAATGGAAAAGTCAGAAGCTCTTTTTCTACCTGCCTTTCCACGAGTTCATGGGCACCACACAATAGTGCCAACTACAGCGAGCCAGCTAGAAGAAGTTGATCCTGTGCTGCTTGATTGTCTTACAAAAAAACCTGAGCTGAAGGCTGAACAGTGTCGAGCCAAAGAAGCCAAGGCTAGTACAGCCAAAGAGAAAGAACCCACTGATAAATCCTCTTCTGCAGCTGCATCTGTTGCCACCCAATCTCACCATGGTGATAAGCACACGTTAGAAGAACCCACTGATACCATTCAACAGCAAGATAGTTTGATGAACATTGTGACCAACCAAGCCAATGTGGCAGCTGCAGAGCTCTTGGAACAAAACGTGAACCCAACACAACAAGATGAGCAGCGCGCTCTTTTGCAAATGGCAACCGAAATCAATGAGGCTGCCAAGTTAGAAAAGTTTAGCTATGACAGGTCTGCCAATAGTGGTCATGCTATCATGCAAATGGCAGCAGAAATCAACGAGGCGGCCAAGCTGGGAAAGATCAGCAACAACAGGTCTGCTGATGATGGCCTCACTCTCATGCAAATGGCAACAGAAATCAATGAAGTGGCTAAGCTGGAAAAGATTTTCAGCAGCGGGGCCACCGCTGATGAAGACAACTCTCAAATCACCACATCAGGGCAGCTAGTTTCCGGAACATCCCAAGCGAGCACAAGTCTACCTCGACCAGGGGCATACATTGGAACACCAGGAGAAGGGTGGCAGCGTACCAGTACTGTTCAGTTCTCCCTCCTTGGTGCTCCGGTTACCAACACAGAGGATATTGAAGAACTGCAGATTGATCAGGATCGAACGAATTCCTGGCCACCTTCGTCACCCAACAACGCCAACAACAACAGTGATCAGCAGCTGGCAGTGGCAAATCTTGTCGTGGAGGATTCTGAATATCTTAGGCTTCAAATGAGACCACCCGCAAATCCTGTGGATTTGCAGACGGCTGAGGAAAGACAGCAAAAGAAGAGGCGACAGACTCAGTTATTCATTTTCTTTTTGGCCACGTTGTGCGTGGGGGCAGCCATTGTTGTCGGAACAGTGGCCGCAACAAGAAAAGGAAAGGATCCTGTCGCAACAAGCAGCATCGGAACAGCTACTCCGACGGCTTTTGGTTCCATGGAACCTTCTGGAGTTCCGTCCTCAGCTCTGACTGGAGTTCTTGATTTCATGCTTGAAGATCTGCCTAATCACACACTGGAGAGTTTGCAGATTTTTGGGACACCACAGTGGCATGCATGGGACTGGCTTTTGGATCACCAAAACATCACCAAATTGCCGGAATGGAGGAAGACACAACTCTTTGCTCTGGCCACCTTCTACTACTCCTTTGAGGGCGAAAATTGGTTTCAACCTATCCAAGAAAAGTGGATGGATGACTTTGTGGACGAGTGCCTATGGTACTCCAGCGGGTTTTCCCATTTTGATAATGGTGTTTATGCAGAATACCCTGCTGCTGTTGCTTCTCTTCCATGCAACCACCTTGGAGAGTATACAAGTCTGTGGATTGAAGATCTCAATCTTCCGGGTCTGGCACCTGTGGTTCCACGAGAGATCATACTGTTGACATCCTTGTGGCACATTGGGCTGGGATTTAATGAGATTTCTCAACCAATCCATGATCTGCTACCAACTGAAACCTACAAAATGACAGCCTTGACATCTTTGCATTTGGCCGGCAATGAGTTGTCTGGTGAAATTCCCACAGAACTTGCACTTTTGACAGCTCTAGAATGGGTGTCGTTAGTGTTCAATGATCTCCTGTCAGGCCAGATCCCTTCAGAGCTTGGTCTCTTGACTGCCATGGCTCAACTGTTGCTCAGTGACAACCATTTCACAGGACAAGTCCCATCCGAGCTAGGACAGCTGAATGATTTGAATAGGATGCGATTGGAAGGGAACCAACTCACAGGCGGACTCCCCACAGAGCTTGGGCTACTGACTTCTCTGATGCAGTTGTTTTTGGCCCATAATGCATTGACTGGAAAAATTGCAACAGAGCTAGCACTCTTGACTTCTCTGAATGTCTTGTGGTTAGAGGACAATCAGTTGACAGGGCCATTTTCCACCGAATTTGGAATGATGACCAGTCTTCTGTTCGTCTCAGCTGATACAAATCTCTTAACAGGTCCCATTCCTTCAGAGCTTGGATTGATCCCGATCGCAGAGGTTTGGTTGAACGCCAATGGGCTGTTTGGCCAAGTTCCTGCTGAAATTTGGTCACTGACAAGCTTGGAGAGGCTCTTTCTGGCTTCAAACTCCATCACAGGCTCCCTTCCAAGTGAGATTGGTCTGTTGTCCTCGTTGGTAGAGCTGGACCTTTCTGGAAATCGCTTTACGGGGACAATCCCCAATGAAGTTGGTTCCATGACTTCACTGAGAAAGCTCTATCTTTACAACAACAGCTTTACAGGAATGCTTCCCCTGCAACTAAATGAATCAATGGGGCTGAGACTGGATGGAAATCAGTTTTCAGGAACCGTCCCAGAGCACCTCTGTTCTACCCTGTGGTGTGACTGCGCAGCAGACATGTCCCTGGTATCCACCTGTGCTGACCTGAATGAGCTTGTATCTTTTCCAGGGCGGTTCCCACCAATGAGCACTGATGGAACTGGTGAGACAATTGTACTCAACATAGAAACTGATTATTACCCGACTGACACAAAGTGGATCTGGCAGAAGGGAATGAATGTGACTAGTGGATGGGAAACTCTGCAAGAGTCTGTTGGAGCAATTCAGGCTCAATTCTTTTTGTACTCTTTCATACTTTCTATTGCACCGGACACAACCTACAGGCTCGTGGTTTCAGACGAGTTTGGAGATGGCTTTTTCCCCTCTGGATGGATCACGCTGACAGCATCCAATCGAACTGAGCTGTATTCTTTTACAGAAGCCCAGACGCCTTTTTCAGAGATCATTGTTGACATCGCAGTTGCAGCTGATGGTTCAGTTGGGGAAATCATTCCCAAAGTGTACTGCGACCCTGTGTATGATTTATGTTGAGTTTGGTGTGGTTCCCCAAAAGTTGCTTGAAGTGTACATAATGGCCATACATGAACACCCCTTTATCTGTAAAATTTCTTGTAGCAGGAAAACAACATTTGGATCATGCAACCTTTCGAAATGTCAAAGGTGTGCGTTGCTTTCGTGTGTTGGGCAGATAATAACAGAGCCTCTCGCACTGAGCCCAAAAGAAGAATTCGTGGTGACAAGTTATCGAAAGTAAGTCAACGAGGTAGATTGAATCATACGATTAGATTGAATCATCCAATCATTTCTGGAGGAAGCTGACTATTTGCGTTCCAGCTCTTGCCCATGAGGATCAGATATGTTCGTTACCAATCAGTTAGACATCCAGCAGTCCACTTCAAGAGCCAATCTCAGCCCGCCACCAATTCACGGTTTTGACAAGCATCCCAAGCGCAGATAGTAGATGACAAAATTGACCAGATAACAATCCCGAACATGACTCACCAAGCCACTCTCACTCCGGCTGAGCAGTCCCACCTCAATCGCAGCCGTTGCACTGGCTCTTGGCTTGCAGTCATGCCCGATATTGCCAAACGCACTCACCTCTCAGCTCAAGAATGGTGTGATGCTCTTTTTCTCTGGTTCGGTCTTACCCCCCCCCCAGCTCTTCCAGCTCTCTGTGATGGCTGTACTGGTCCCTTCAGCGTTCCACATGCTCTGGATTGCAAACGCGGCGGCTTAATCATCCGTCGCCACAATGAAATCCGCAATGAACTTGGTTCTATTGCGTGTGATGTTAATGCTTTGGTTCCTCTACGTCCAGTCAGAACCACCCTTCCATCTGTTCCCGCCCCTCTATCCCTGCCGGTCACCATTTCTACCTTACCTCCCCTTCCTCCCCCCCCTCAATCCCATCCAGCCCCCGAGCTCTTACGTGGTGATCTTTCCATTCGCGGCTTGTTCGAACGTGGTACTACAGCTATTATTGACGTACGTGTCACTGATTTGGACTGTGCCTCTTACCGAAACAAAGATCCCGTCAAAGTTTTAACCCAACAAGAACGCGACAAAATTTCCAAATATAAAGAAGCGTGCGACTCCAATCGTGCTTCCTTCCATCCCTTTGTTGTTTCAGTGGATGGCATGCTTGCCCCCCAGGCCAAGACTCTCTTACAACGCCTTGCTTCTGCTAATGCCTCCAAAACTCAATTTCCTACTCTCAAATGATGTTCTTCATGCAGACCCGTATCTCCATTGCCCTTGTGAAAGCTACCCATTTATGTCTCCGTGGATCCCGCAAAGCCAAACCCTTTGCCCCCCGTAATGGTCCTCACTTTCTTGCCCCTGATCCCACAGAACCTAGTCCTGAATTTCGACTATTCTTTGCTTAAGCCTGGCCCGGCTGGCTTCGGTAGCTAATTTCCCTACTCTAAACCCCGTTTATCCCGAACATGACTGTTCTGCCTCAGTCGTGCAAAATAATGAGACCTCGAGACACCACCACCACCACTGGCTAGTCTACCCGTACCGGTAGGATCATTCTCCACATCCTTCCACCAACTTCCTCTCTGGGCCTTGCCTATCCGACCAACTCCACGGCCTCCCCATCAAACGTACACGTTGCCTTTGTTTCTCTAGACAGAGCTGATCGATATCCAGCCAGTACGGTATCAGCCCTCTCATTGTTTTCTTTGTGTGAGACAGGCTGCAGCAACAACTTCCAAGTATGATTGTCTATCTGAACGGCGAATTTCTACCTCAAGAAGAAGCCAAGGTCTCTCCCACAGACCGAGGCTTTTTGTTTGGAGATGGCATCTACGAAGCCATTCCGTATTACAAAGGCAAGCCGTTTGCCTTTGATGGGCACTGGAAGCGATTGCAAGACGGGCTTGGGTTTCTGAGGATTGACTTTGCGGATCACGACGAGGAGAAAATGAAAAAGGTATTTGACGAACTGCTTAATCGAAATAATGGTTTGCAGCAAATGACACGCGCCATGATTTATCTGCAAATTACACGAGGAGCTCCGCCGACACGAAGCCACGTTTTCCCAGTGTCCAATGGGACCGTCGTCAAGCCGACCGTCTTTGCAACCTGCCAAGAAATTGCGTATCCGTCTCCCGAACGTTGGACGGCGGGGTTTTCGGCCGCATTGGTTCCCGATCAACGATGGGGGCGGGTTGATATCAAGACGGTCAATCTGTTGGCCAATGTCTTGGCCGCGCAAGAAGCCAAGGACAAGGGGGCCGATGAAGCCATTTTTGTCACCGAAGACGACGCTCATCTCATCACGGAGGGTTCCAAAGCCAACGTGTTTGGCATTCTGAAGGATGATGCCAATGGAGGCTCCAAGATTGTGACCCATCCACTGTCGCGTCAAATCTTGCCCGGAATTACTCGCAACATGGTGGTACAGGTAGCTCGAAATGCTGGGCTGATTGTGGAAGAGAGAGCCATGACAAGGGCAGAACTGACAGAGGAGGCACAGGAAGTGTTTATCACGTCCACTACAACTGAGATCAAACCCATTGTCAAGATTGACGGCAAGGTTGTGGGCGATGGCAAGGCTGGACCCATGTCAACAAAATTGGTAGCCCTTTTGAGGTCTCAGATTGAAGTGGAAACTGGGGTCAAATTGGATTAGAAACGGCTTGGAGGCACCAAGCAAGATAGATTGAACATTTATTCGAGCTCAATTTCCTAGCGAGCACGGTACCGACTACCCAGAGAGAGACGAATAGACTAGAGGATAAAAAAGGTTTCGAAATGGACTGTAGCCAACCACGGATAAGAGACAAGCCTTGCTGGCAACAACACAGGCAATGAAACAACTTGTCGTAGAGCCCCCTGACCAAACGCCCAGATGATGAGATCTATCTTAGAAACATTTTTCTGTCAAAAGTAGCCATTCCATTTTCTCGTTTCCCGCCCCTTGTTTTGTAGTTTCTCTGAGGATGACCCTTACCTATACTCTTACTCTGGCCGAGGCGCTGACCCCCAACATCAATACTTACTCCAGCAGTTGCGCTTGCAGCTACCCCTGCTAACGTTCCATCTCCAACCCCCCTCAGGACCCACTCCAGGACTCCCAATCTCCATACTCTGTTGTAGGGAAGATCCAACCCAAAAATGATGATGACAAAACCAACCTCAGACACTACATGTACATGTACTTCCAACTCCCCTGCCGGTACGTACTCTGGACCCCCATGTTGCTGATACTGTTACATCTAGCTAGCTAGAGAGAACCGCAGCTGCGCAGATCTCTCGCAGTTGTTGCGACTCAGGATGACCAGTCTCTTTGCATGCATGTAATTGGTGCTCAGTTTGCCAACCTCAGAGTCTCATCTGTATCGTACCCCATCTGGCATACACACTTCCTGAAATTCTCCGAGAATAGTAGAGTGCACCGATTCTCGCCCTTGATGATCTTCTTAGCACCCTTCCTGTTATAGGGGCGACAATCAACCACAAGGAACTCATTCATTTCAACCTTTCTGTACTTGCCAACATTTGGGTCAAAGTGCTCGAGGTGCTCGCTGATCTTGTCCCCATTACGGAGTAGTTCAAGAGCCCATTTCAAAGATCCATTGATGTAGAAGTCCAGCTCTCCAGTCACAACCTTGCCCGCACCATCTGTCACAAAGGTATTCAGTTCAGGGATAATGGGATTTCTGGCCCTCAATAGTTTGGCCATGGATTCATTAAATAGATGGAGAAAAGCTGCTTCTTTTGGAAATCCATCTCCCATTCCAGCATCCACTAAACGCCGACTTGAGATAGCCTTCACAGCCTCCTTTACAAGAGCACGAAGACTGGCAGGGTTTTGAAGTGCTCGATTGGGGAAGCATTGCTTGTAGTAGAACCATTGAGCGGCGATGCTACGGAAACGGCTTTCGCCAGAACCTTCGCCTGATAGGATGCCATGCCTATAGAATTCTTCAAGATTGGTGCCATCGTCCTTATTCTCTTCTGCTGCTTCCTCCGACACTTCACCAATCACCACATCAATAAGAGCCATCTAGTGAGTTTCATTCCTGATACTTTCTGGGAGGCGAAAACACCTCTTAAGTTGTTCAATCATGTCAGCCCCACGCAGTTTGGCCACCATGTCCTTCTCCACGAGTGGTAGTTTGGTTCCAGGTCTCTTTTTGAGGACAGCGACCAACCGTATCCCAGCCATCATCACACCAATTTGATACCGCGGAGAAGTCCCAGGGCCGCCATCGATTCGGCTGATGTCAACAAGTGTATCCCGGTACTTTACCCACTCCTCGCCATTCAAGCGCTCCGAAAAGAGGTTCCAGAGATCCATGATTTCTTCCTGCGTTGCATCGGGCTGCTCATGAGTGATTCCTTTGAAAATGGCATGTGAAGTTGAAGTTGGTGTGTCCAAATCATAGGTCGTTGCAATAACCACTTTCACCCTCCCTTCAATTTCATCAGTGCCCCCAACTATCTTCACCAGAAATTCCCAAAGAGGATAATAGTGGGGATCACAGGCATTCTGTGCATCACCAATCAGAACCCAGGTTTTCTCTATTTGCAGAGCTCCTCCATATCGTTAACCATCCCTGCCCTGGCAAGCTGCTTAAAAAAATCTTCCGATGCCGTGCCCTTATTCATCTTTAGCTGAACGATCCTTGGCCTCACGCCCTCTGGAAGAGCCCGCAGATGCCACTTCAAAAGCTGTAGCAATGAGGATTTCCGGATGAAGGCGGGGAACCAACAACCATATAGGAAACATCCTTCATTTGCTAGACAACTCGATCGACAAGATCATCTCGCTTTAAATGCTTGCCACTGCCACTCGAAATCCCGTCCAACTTGAAAGGATCGATGGGAGACTGGGAGTTCTCATCCGTCCTCGCCTTTTTGTAGGCGGTGTCTCCATGTTACTACTGTAGTCGATGCCTTTTTTGGACAGTAGTTGTTGTAGATGTTGCTACTCGCCCCTTTGTGTCGGTAGCGGCTGGTTTGTGATTCTAAAGGCCAGAAGACTGGGTTCACACCACCTCTCTCGAACGGCGATCGTGAAGAAATAACGCAGAAGCAACCGGGACCCCAAGCTTGATGTGAGACGACAAGAAGTTACCTTGACGGATGCCCTTGTGCTCAGAGCTCAGAGCATGCAACACTGGGGTGCCCCAAAACTCGCGCATTTTGGGTTGCGCACAAGATGCCTCGGGTGGCGCCAACTACGGAAACAGAAATAGCAAAAAGGCATGACAGTGGATTGCACAACCCTCCCAGCTACTGACATGGCTCCTTAGCAGTTTTTCTAGCTCGTTCCCCCGCCTACTAGTTCCAGCCCTGGTTCTGGTTATACCTCCCCTGCTGGCCTGAGCCCAGCTAGCTAGCCTCAGCTTCCCAGTCAGTGACATCTTTATAGCATTTCTCCTGGGCAGCTCCTTCCCCAGCTCAATGCCCAGTTTCATCCCAAATGCTCCTCCTGCTGAGAGCCTCAGCTATGCAGTTAGCATTACTGCTAGAGCTACCAAGCAGGCATGTTTCTTTAAAAGGGCATGTTTAAGGGCATGTTTCAGATTTAAGGGCATGTTTCAAGGGCATGTTCATATAAGGGCATGTTCATTCGTGATAAGGGCATGTTCTATGGTGTTTCAATGAAGGCTTAAGGGCATGTTTCGAGGCATTAAGGGTATTTTTTAAAGGCGTGTTTATATAAGGGCATGTTTAAGGGCATGTTTCAAACAGTGCTCAGGCGTGGAAATTTCAATTTTTGTTTTAGAGCCTGAGTGAAAACCGTTGGACGGTCCGGTACGGTATGGTTAGCCTGTAACCCAAAAACGAGGACCAACCATTGATTGATTGATTGACACACCAAACAACAAAATCCGCAACAGGCCAACTCCGTAGTTGGCGAAATCACAACCCATGGCAAGCATGCCACCCACTGAATATTCTCTATTCTCTATTCTCTAGCACTAGCTAGTAACCCGCTTTAAAAATTGTGCAGTCATCATGGATGAGTCGACCGAGATAACCAAGGATACCTCAGAGCAGTTGGCAGCAGGTTCTAACAATTCTGGTAGCAAGGACCATGAGCACTGTTGCCACAGAAGAGACGACCTGGCAGCACTCAACATTCTGAAGCACCCCGTTTGGATCTTTGATGTCGAACGCAAATGCATGTTTTGGGCCAACAAGGCAGCTCTGGAAATCTGGAAGGCAGACTCGTTGACCGAGTTGTTGGAGCGAGATTTTGCTTCCGATATGAGCGAGGAAACGAATACTCGCATGTTGGATCACCTGGAGCAAATGAAACGAGGCAAAGTCATGACAGAGCAATGGACGTATTATCCCAAGGGGGGGCGTCCTAAAACGCTGCAAGTAAGTGGCTCTGTCATTTGGATACAGCATAATAATGACATCGACAACGACAGCCGGGGACGAGCTGCTGTCCTTGCCGAAGCGGAATTGCCGGATCATGCTGGCTTTCATGATTCCACGGCACGGGAAGTGGAACTACTTCGGCATGTACCGATGGCGGTATGTCAATTCAAAATGAATGGGGATAGCATCTTTCGGAATCCAGAAGATCTGAGGGTATTTGGAGTGGACAAAGGACACGATGACGACGATGACAATAATGAGAAGAAAAGCAAAACGGGGCTGTTGGATCGCTTCGTGGATCCTTCTGTGGCGACAACCATGCTCGAAAAACTTCAGGATGGAAAAGATTATCGAGTCGCAGCGAAGCACTACGTTGCCGACGACGGACCACCACTTTGGTTTGCCATTTCTTGCCGAAAATCCAAGGATCCCGTTACGTCGGACGATTCTATCCTTTACAGTGCCCGGGATATCACGGAGGTGATGAAAGCAAGAGAGGATACCAAGAAAGCCAACCTCAAATCAGAATTCATGTCGGTGATTGCCCACGAGATTCGGACTCCGTTGCATCAAATTGTGGGCTACACAGATCTTTTGGAGCTCACAAACCTGGCCGAAAAGCAAGTAGAAGCTGTACGAATGATTCAACGTTCACTCGACAACCTCATGTCAATTCTCAATGACCTACTGGATTACAACAAATACGAATGTGGGCACACCGAACTGGAAAAGATTCACTTCAGCTTGAGAGGATTGCTGCGGGGATGTGTTACTTCCATCCAAACCGAGGCGGTCGCCAAGGGAATTGACCTGCGACTTGACCTCGTTGAAAACTTGCCGTTCAAGGTCATTGGAGATCCCAACAAACTGCGTCAAATCCTTTTGAATCTCTTGCAGAATGCGGTCAAGTTTACCGACCAGGGTCATGTCATCCTGTCGGCCAGCACACGGAGCAGTATCAACACACCCGACAATCATCATCAAGTGATTCGGTTTGAAGTCACCGATACGGGGATTGGGATCCCACGAACGCATCAAACGATGATTTTTGAAAAGTATGCCAAGGTGAACCTCAATAATGCCATCAACTACAATGGAACTGGACTGGGATTGGCCATATGTGCAAGTTTGGCCCAAGCCATGGGCGGTAAAATTGGCGTGGACAGTGAAATGGGCAAGGGGAGCACGTTTTACATGGAAATTCCACTAGAGCTTTCGACGACGGAGGAAGCATCCGCCGTTAAGAAAGATCAAATGGCGGCCGAAGAGCTGAGCCCGGACGAGTCCCTGCGTGTGTTAGTTGTGGAAGACAACAAGGTCAATCAGAAGCTCGTGGTAAGGATGCTAGGGAAGCTAGGGCACAGTTCTGTTGTGGCTGAAAACGGCCAGGTGGCTCTGGATAAGTTGCAATCGGCGCAGGCAGATCTTGTGCTAATGGATATCCAGGTAAGTATATGACACTCCGAAAAGCCTGCGACGGGGGATAGTGCAATGGTTGACTCACTGCCACTTCTATATAACGTCCAGATGCCCGTTATGGACGGCCTGGAAGCAACCCGAGAGATACGAAAGACTCGGACGAAATTTGCTCTCCCCATTGTCGGGCTGTCGGCAAGCTTTCAGAATGCCGACTTGGAGACCTACCTTGACATAGGAATGAATCAATGCCTTAGCAAACCTGTACGATTGGAAACTTTGAAACGCACGATCGACAAGACCATCGCCAACTGTCGGATGGGGCGTGGGTCTGTGTAACATTGGTTGCTACCTCCGTAATAAAGTGATTCCTGCAACATGTGCGTTTTACAATGAACAGGGAAATCTAATCTTTGCTACCCTTGCATCCGAGAAGTCGACACACATTCGTGTTGTGAGGTGATTGATTGTTTGCCGTGGGCCTTGAGGGTAAGAACCGCGGTCACAGTGCGTAATGATCATTCTAGCTCAACAGCTCTAGAAACGCACAGTGCAGCTCGAGTGACAAGTCTCGAGAATCATCGCAGTTCGGCAAGGTGAACAGAGAGCAGAATTACGGTACGAATGATTCGATTCAATCGACAGGACAACGTCGGCACGACGCGAAGAGTGACGAAGGGGCTAAAGGAATCACAATCAAATCATTCCAACCATCATCGGAAAGGTAGCTACACTGAGAGTAGACGACTAGCTAGCACGAGCCTGAGAAGCTCGGGGAAAGACAAAGTTCTTTGTTTAACGTTTCTCTTTACTATCTCTTAGCTACGTTTTATGCTTTTCCACGATTCTTGCAGCTTCATCTGCGGACATCATATCTTCACAAGCTTTCCTTGTTATATTGTGCTGCTGTTCGCTGTCATCTAGTGCTTTCAGTAGTAGAGGTGACCTTTCCCAGCATCTTGAGACGGTTGCTGTCCATCACGGCAATGCGGCCCATTGCTGCAACTTTGTCAAAGGGTTCCAAAAACAAGGGTGCCTTAGGGACAAACTCAACCTCTGCAGTCTCAAACTGCTGCAGCTCTTGTGGGTTCTCAACCTTCTGCCCACCGGTCTTCTTGGATTGCTTCCACATGATCTTTGTCATCTTGCAGGCAACCTTGGCAGTGCGGGAAAAGACAATAGGAGTGTAGCCAGGCTTGAGGATGCCAGGATGCTCCTGCACAGCAACTGTCGCAGTAAAGGACTTCACAGGATTGAGGGTTCCCTCTTTCTCCAGATAAATGATGTCACCAGGAGATACTTTCTCATCCTTGCCAATGCCCTTGATGGACATTCCCACAGAGTCGCCTGGACCAGCAGCATCAATGGTCTTCTTGTGTTGCTCAATGGAAAACACCTTCTTTCCAGTGAGGCTAGCAGGAGCAACACCAACAACATCTCCAGGGTGAAGAGTACCTTGTTCAACAGTTCCTGCAATGATCTGACCTATACCCTTGATGTTGTAAACATTGGAGATGGGAAGACGAAGGGGTGCATTGGGCAACCTCTTGGGGGGTTGGATGAACTTGTCCAGGGCATCCAGAATGGTGTAGCCTTGGACAGTGACTTTTGGACTCAAGTTGGCCTTCCATCCCTTGTACCATGGAGCCTTGTCAGACTTTGCCACCAGGTTGTCACCATTGTATCCAGAATATGGGATGAATGGGACCTTCTTTGGCTTGAAACCAATCAACTGGAGCATCTTGACAAACTCTGCCTTGATTTCCTCAAATCGTTCCTCAGACCAACCACAAGAATCCATCTTGTTGACTCCAACAATGATCTGCTCAACACCCAAGAGATACAAGAGGCGGGCATGTTGTCGGGTCTGACCTTCTTCTACACCCATCTTGGGATCAGCCTTGGCGATAGCAGCCTCGAAGCCACCCTTCTCTGCTGGCACCAGAAGGAGGCCAACATCAGCAGAAGAGGAACCTGTAATCATGTTCTTGATGTAGTCCTTGTGGCCTGGAGCATCCACTATTGTGTAGTGGTACTTGTCGGTGTAAAAGTCCTTGGTGGTGGATTGGATGGTGACTCCACGTTCACGCTCTTCCTTGCCTTGGTCCATGTAGTATGCGAATCCAAAGGAAGCTTTTCCCTTCTCGGTTGCCTCTTGCTGCAACTTTGCCATCTCCCTTTCGGATATGCCACCCTGTTTGTAGATGAGGTGTGAAACTGTGGTGGACTTTCCAGCATCCACGTGGCCAGTGACAACCAAGGAAATGTGCTCTTTGTTGTTGTTAGTGGAGGAAGTATCAGTGGACATGATGGTTGACTTGATCTTTAGTGACTTTTGCTGTTCTTGTTGTGTGATAGTGTGGTGTTTGTGTCTGCCTCTATAACAGACCTGTTCTCTTGCTTGTTGCTTTCTCTTTAGTTTTTGTTTTCTTGAAATCAAATTTGTGAGCGTGTAGTGGTCGACACATCTCTCTTTCATTTGGACGCACACGTCTCGGAAGATGATGCAGGTTTCGGAAGTTCGATTTCCTTCTTTTGTTATCCAACGGTTGATGTCACAGGCAGGTTCACCGAGTCACGCAGATTGATGTGATTAAATCAAATCGCTCGGGACTCGGAAAGATGAGAGGCCGCCAAGCAATGGATCTGCAGCTACGGTACCGGTACTACATGTACTGTCCGAGCTCTGGCAAGCTAGCTAGTGGAAAGAACTAGTTCTTGCAAGTTGTGTAAGAAAGACACCAATGGGCCAAGCTCGGGTGAATAGGAAACACAGCTGGGTGGGGGGTCAAGGACCAGTAGGATCAGGTTGCCAAACATGAAAGGCGAGACTGATCTTGCCGGCATGATGGCTGTTCAGGTGCCCAGAACCTGGCTACGATCCTAATAAATCTTTGGCCTGCCTTTGCCTTCATCATCGTAGCCTATCATAGTTGATAGAGCCCACCCTATACCTTAAATAGCTTTAGTTCCTGTACAAAATCATAAGCAACATTCGCATATATCTGTATATTTGTTGCTGTCCCAGCATCTTGCGCTTTCTTTTCACCGATTATATCGCGCACGGCGAATTTTGTCCCGTCGTTTACGCCGTTCCGTCGGAGATTCAGTGGAACCTTCAAATTGATGATTCTTGAGGTTCAATGTCTTGCCATAGAACGGGTGTCCATCAATACGTTGCACTTCAAACATCATCCCGTCTTCTTGGTAGGCAAAATACATTCGTGTTCCATCTGGGCTGAACGAAAGCCCAGTTGTTTCCGGCGTATACATCCCCTCCAAGACGGTAAACACTTCTCCTTTGGCATTCCGCGCGTGAATGCCAGCCTTTTCACCTCCGTCTGAAGCATGCACAAGTGAGTTTTCCAATATCACGTGGATTGCGTCGACCAAGAGTCGTTGACTGTTCGTACCTTCTGTGAAATACAGCAAGACTTCAGGCTCCTCCTCTGAGCCATCGGTGTTTGCAGCTTCACCGGCAGGAGGACCAATGATCTTTCGAAGTTGATCTGGTGTACCATCTGCGTGATCAAATGAGAAAAGCAGGAGAACCACTTTAAGATGAGAGCTGCCCAGCGAAAGGAAACCAGTGCCCGACTTGAGAAGCTAGCTAGCTATGCATAGGACTTACCAAAAAGCCCAGAACTGGTGGATTTTCGTGTATACGTCAACCGATCCAGATCCAATTCATAGAGGTGATTGTACTTTTTGCACACTACAAAGAGTGAATTCTCATGGACGGAAAGGCCCCTGTTCAACGACAGGCAGTACAGTATGAAGAAAAAGAAGATTTGAGAATTGCAAAAGCTGAGGGCGAGCTCCTGTACAAGTTGGTGGCTTACTCGGCGTTGGGATAATAGTATGCGGCGTTCTGTTTCGCTTGTCGTTTGTTTTCGATCCACGTATAGATTCCCTGGGTGTGATCATTCTGATTGGGAAGCAGCACCAGGTAGTCAACGGTACCAGGTCCCAATAGTATCTCCCAGGGTTTGTTCCAGTCCGGGGCATCTGGAGTGAACCGCTGCATGGGGCCATACTCATCATCCTCTGTGAGGAAAAAGTGAGGCTTGGCTGCAGAGGGTTTGTTTTGAAACCTTGCTGTGAGCCATGTACCGAAATCAACATTATCATATATCCAGTATTGCGCACTCACCTGGATCTCGAATATCTTCCGCAAACGCCTCAAAGATCCCTCCTTCACTGCCCAACGTAATTATTTGCGGTGCCCGAATACCAAGCGGATCCACTTGCCACACTTTGCCATTGGCGCTCCAAAAGTCTTCTTCACAAGAAATCCAGGCACCAAAAGATGTTTTGCCACCATTGCAATTCATGGTGGTTCCCGTGAGCACCATGCGGTAGTCAATGACATTTCCACTGGCATCAAACGTAATGGCCCCGACACCGCCTTGTCCTTCTCGATCCTCTTCCGAGTTGCTAATCAGCACCCAACCACCGGGATTTTCAGGTCGCGTATCGACAAAGACATCTCCTCCATCGGGCCAATCGTGAAACACGGACGACGATTGTTCTTGATTGTAATACCGCACCTTGCGTCCACTTTCCGCAATGACGTGGGACTTGAGTCCTTCCGACAGGAGGAGTCCATTTTCAATCTTGTTGATCAAGCCAATCTTGAAGGTAATATTCTGATGTGGATTGTTGGGATCTCTAGTGGCACTGCCCATGTTTCCATTGTCATTATTGTCGTCGGCATTGTCGCTGGCATTATCAGCAGCGGCGCCCCCCGGATCACTGTCCGCACCGGTGTCCGACGGTGGAGGTTCGTAGGGTAGATTAGCATCCATGGGACTCGAGCCTTCAAATGGCTTTTTACTGTTTTCCAGTTGACTGTCCATGTGATCTTGCACCGACAAAAGGGAGGAATCTCCTCTATCACTGATGGATCCATCAGAAGAACGATCTTCTCCTGTTGGGGAGAATATCCGATGCTCTCCTGTGACTGCATTTCCCACTTGTTGCAGTAGGCGATGCAATGTCATTGGATCATCTTGTTGTTCTGCTGTGGACCGTAGTATTGTTGCTGATTTCGAAATGATGCAAGGAACGGCAACGACCAATGCAATGGATCGGATCAGGATTTTCCATCGTGCAGGGTTGTGCCATTGGGAGCTGTTGTCGGAACTATCCAAAGTAACCATGTTTACTTTGATGATGAGAGCCTTACAGTACTATTATTGGCAGATCGATTCCATTCCCCATGTTGTTGGATGGATGACGACAACACCACAAAGAGCACTTTGGTTCCACAAAACCTGGAGCGTTCAGTTGAACGAAATTTTGTGGAAGGCTCAATCATTCCTGCACACAAGCCAATCACAAAATCTGACCGTTGGATTCAATCATTCCCCCCTTTCCAGAAGGAGGGCCCCCCCTCTTTAATCTCTTGGAAACTAGAAACCAAAGAGAAATCAGAGCAAAAAGACAATGGCACTTCTTTCAGGTCCAGCAGCCTTGGACGGGGAGAAGGAAGCGGCGAAAGAAGACACCAGCTCTGCTAGTACCGGTAGTGCCTTTCTTGACACGACGATTCCAGCAGAATGCGTCTTTGAAGATCTTCCACAGCATAGTAATGCTCTTCCCAGTCCCTTTTTGCCAATTCCTTCAACCGTGTCCTCTTTGACCGACTGCGCCAAGTGGCATATTGAACAATTGGAACAAGAATTACTGGCAGCAGCACACAATGGCGATGAATTGGAAGATGCGTTGGACGATGGATTTGTCTTGTGCGACTTGAATGTGATTCGCAAAAAGTTGTTGGCATGGCGACACTTGTTTCCACGCATCAAACCCTTTTTTGCCCTCAAATGCAATCCGGATCCCATGGTAGCGGCGGGTGAGTGCTGTGCTGTGCTTTACCTGAAAATGCAAAGGAAAATCGAGAGTTCGTGTCATGGCTCATTTTTATTTCCTTGTCTTTCTTTCTGTCATTTGTCAGTACTCGGTCGGACCAACCAAGCCGCTGGATTTGACTGTGCCTCGTTGAGTGAAATTACCTTGGCTCTACAGTCGTCTCGCCAAAATAATTCCAATTTGGTGGTCTATGCCAATCCACAACGTGCCGAAAATGATTTGGAAGCATCGCTGTCTCACGGTGTCGTGGCATTTACATTGGATGGAGAAGAAGAATTGCACAAGATTCACCGCGCATTCCTCCAACACAACCAAAACAACAATAATGCCAAAAAGGCACCCCAAATCATTCTGCGATTGCTCGTGCCCGACGAACATTCCACGGTACCATTGGGCGAAAAATTTGGAGCCCCTCCCGACCGCATTCCCTCACTGGTCCAATTGGCACTCGTTCTGCAATTGCCCATTATTGGTGTCAGTTTTCATTGTGGATCGGGATGTCATGATCCCATGGCATATGCCCAGGCCATTCGACTGGCATACGATGCCATGAACACGATTGATGAATTGCAACACGGTCACCACAATAAGTGCTGGTTGTTGGACATTGGAGGTGGGTTTCCAGGAAGAGATGGATGGAAGGGAGACACGGGAAGGTTTTGTAATTGTTGTGCTGCTGGTGGCAACCTGACAATTGACAATAGTAGTGAAGAGGACGACGAGACACTGGAAACGGCTCGAAAGATTGCAGAGGCCATTAATCCACTCTTGGACGAATTGTTCCCTCCTGCTACGAGCCAAGTCCAAGTCATTTCCGAACCGGGACGATACTTTGTGGAAGCCGCCTTTGCTCTTTGCAGTCGCATCTACCGAGTGCACACAACAACAACTGCGCCTCAAGAAGACAGCAGCAACAACAGTTCTGCAACCACCACCAAAAGAATTCACTATACGATTGCACAAGGAGTTCAAGGAGTCTTTAAAGATGTCGTCTTGTGTGGAGAATCCTTTGAACCAGTGCCACTGCAAATGATGATGTCACAAAACAATGCATCACAATCCACAACCGTGTTGTTCCCCAGTACCATTCACGGACCAACGGGAGATGTGGTTTGCCCTTCCATTGATCTGCCACAGTTACAAGTCGGTGATTGGTTGCTCTTTGATCGAATGGGTGCCTACACTCTCAGTATTTCGGCAAGGTCAGGCAGACCTCCGATACGATACATCATGGGAAGCTAGCTAGCATGTTTGGTACGGTATATTACCCGGTAGCTCTTGTTAGAGTTAGTTGGTTGCTTTGGTGATAAAGTGGAGTTTCCGCCGCCGCAGCAAGTTTTGAAACGAAATCAGACTCTACTGAATGTAGTACTGTATCTAGTAGTAGAGTTGAACTAACACACGGTACAGGACCATTCTCACTCCGCTTGTACTTGGACTAAAAACGACCTTGGCATGAACGGCAACAGTGTTCTGGCCTCAGGAACTCGCTGGCGTTTCTTCGGTCTCTCTTCCACATCCGGTCCAAACACTCGAGCACACTCCCTCCACATGGAAAGATAGTATCGGTGGCCTCGGTCCTGATCGTTGTAAAAGTTGAAGAGCTCTTGGCGTAGCTCAATGGTTCTGCCAAGGCAATCCATGACATCTTTGGGGATTTCCATTCCCTTGGCTGCCAGATATCTGGCAGCATTCAAGTACGCGTCACAGTTGGGCTCACGGTTAGGAGGAAGGCCGGCAAACACGGGCTGTGCATTGGCTCGCAGAAACTGCTTCACTTTTGCTTCCGCTGCTTTGTATTCGGAATGAATCTTACGTGCTGGTTGTTGTGGCTGCTGTCGTTGCTCCTCAACGGATGTAGTTTCCACCACAGCTCCTTCCGTTGTAATCTCAAAGTGCCATGATGGAGATCGAACCAAAGAGTGGTTTGGTAATGAAATGTCCACTTCTGAGATATCCACAGGCTCGGGAGCACCTCCAGTAGAAGTGGGACGATTCGTTGCTGGTGTCCGTATGGTCGTTCTCCTGTTGAATCGCGTGTCGACAGCTCGTCTTTCGAACCTTGTCTCGATCTGATCGTTGCCATCATGTCGCTTTCGCTTCTTATTGTTGTTGTTGTTGTTGTTGTTGTTGTTGTTGTTGTTGTTGTTTCCCTGGTTAGTTGTGTCATTCTTGCCTGCATCTCTCTTGTGTGTCCCGTTATTGGCTGCCTTGTTTCTATTTGTGGGTAGTTCCCACCATTCGCCGAGGAGGCCCCAGCCACTTTTGCCAGGAGGACATACAACCTCCCGATGAATGCGAGGTCTTTTTGTTTGCGTCGTTGGCAGTGCTTGTGCGGGGGGTGTTGGTACTGAGGTATGGATATCGTTGCGAAGGATCCCCGTTCTCACGTCTCCACGAGTTCTATCTGGCGCCCGGCTTGGCAAGGAAAATACTCCAAAGCTACGAAATGGCACGCTAGATGGTGCTTTGCTTGATTGTTGCCGACTGGGTGATTCTGTGCAATTTGGTGAAGGAGTCTGCTTTATGGGTTGGGTCAAGGCTTTTTGGCCATCCCGAGTCTCATTGATCCCAACGCATGGGTCTTTCTTTTCTGGCCCTGGACTTGTGGTGTGGGGGTTGCTGGTGCGGGCCCTGGCGTTGGTGGCCTTCTTGTTCTGATCTGGCAAACTTGTCTTTGCTGCCTGTTGAGGGTTTCTTCACTGTGGTTTGATTCTCGAGCCGGCTGTAATGTAAATCCATGCTCTTCTTGAGTCTTTGAAAGCTGGAAATTGTGTCGAGCCTTCGTTTGCTCCTTGTTCTCTTGAAAAATTTGTCGGATCTTCCGATTACTCCGGTTAGTTCGCGCAACGGTGTTGTGGACAACGTCTTCTTCCAACCTGAGATCTACCAACTCAAGCTGTTCGCCGTCATCTTGGCGCCCTATCTTCTTGTGTGGATGCTCCTCCTCGTCACTGCTGCAAATATCCACCACTTCATCATCAACCTTAGTCACCTTGGGATGTTGTTGCGTTTTCTCATTGCCCTGGGCCCCTCTCTCCAGGACTTGTGTTGGCGGCGCAAGAGAGGGAACTCCATCAGACACGGCCAATTCCAGTGGTCGCTCCCATCTGTTTTTAGACAATCTTGAGCCACCTCGCTTAACTTGATGGCTCTCCTCTTGATTGCAATGGCATGAATGCTCCGATTCATCTCCGTCTTCTACTATACCACTACTACAACTAGCAACAGCAGCGTGGAGCCGAAACAGCAGAAGCAACGTAAAACCAAGGCCCACGATCAAGGCACGTAGCATCCATTGCCCACTGTCTGCTGCCACACACAAAACACTGACACAGTACACAAGATGATGCCTATCCATTGACGAACAGGAGATGAACAGATCATCCCCTTGGTTGGCGTTGCCAATAGATGGAAGGTTCGAAACGATTGTTGTCACATGTTGTCACCTTGAATCTTTTCGACGCAAGTCAGCCAGTCTGTCAAATTGTTCTTCTCCCGCCCTGAAATATTGTTTGGTGATGGACGACAACTTCCGCGAGAAACCGCAACAAAGACGCAAACTTGAAGACAGCAGCAGCCAACAATAAGGTGACCTTCGGACAGCTTGCATTGCGGTCAAACCACATTGCGGTCAAACCATGAATTAAAAATTAAGGATGCAGAGACACTCCTGGATCTCAAGTAAAGGAATTGCTGCCTTCAAATATCCGGTCGCAAATGTCGCACATTCCCGACGAAGAACTCTTGACTAAATGCCGGGGGCTTGTTCCATGCAAAGGAGAGAATGCTGCTTCGCTTATGAAAGGGTATATTGAAGGGCGCAATGGTCTGTACTATGAAGGGTATATTGAAGGGCGCAATTACGAGCGCTATAGGTGCTCGGTGGGTGCTTTGCTCCTCGATCAGACTTTGCTTGGTCTAAAAAGCGAAGACATCAAACTCGAATGTCGTGGCAAATTGGGCTCTAGCTTGAATCCAAGCCACCTACCTGCAACTCAAGAAATTTTTAAATTCGAGATAGAACAAATCCCTTGGAACGAGACGAGATGCAAGCGATTCCATCGCGCGTCTGTTGACAAAAAACGGGACTTTCACGTACATGACTAAGGCCGATGTGCAGCATCTGGTTCACACAGTGTTGAAGGATGCCGTGAATACCTGCAACAGCATTATCGAAAAAGTCTCGAATGCAAAAGGCAGTGAATCCACGCAGGTACCGGCAGAATTGGAATGCAACTTGGAACAGAGTGTGTGGTCTCAACGTCCGGTCACGTTGTAGTGTTTAACACCCTCACCGGCACACATCTGGAATCGCTTCGCGATTCCCTTCGGGCGCCTGATTTCTACCTTCCGCATTCCGATGATTTGTGAGTTGTGTTTGCGCCTATGGTTCTTCAGGATTGGCTTCGGAGTGCGTTCAAAAGCTACGTCTCTAGTACAAAATCGCTAGACTCCCAAAACAAAGACTTAAGAGGCCATTCCCTTAAAAACCGGAGTGGTGAGGGCTTTCCAGTGCATTTGAGTGTGGGATTCGAATGATTGGACTTGTGTATGTAGCCTGCTACGGTAAACGTATTGGTTTGTACCAGAGACGTAGGTTTTGAACGCACTCCGAAGCCAATCCTGAAGAGCCATAGCAGCTGGTTGGTTGTTGGAAAGAAGAGCACTCCACGCGGTCTGTCCGTCTTCCGTCTTCCCCAGACTCACAGTAGAGGTGAATAAGTCAGCGGGAGCTGCGATACCTCGGCAGAAAGACAGATAGAAGAAGGAGGATCATGTTTGAGATTGCACCCATCTTTCAAGCCAGCCCTGGCGACAATACCCGACTACGTCGTGTGTTGCCGCCCGGTATCATTCATTCCCTCATTGCAACCTTCTTTATTAAGCTAGCCCTGGCGACAACACCCGACTACGTCGTGTGTTGCCGCCCGCTACTCTATAATTTACCAGCTGCCATTCCCTTATTGCAACTCTAACCTTTATAACTCCTGCTGGCTTATTGTGCTGTTGTGCTGATTGCACTAACCTTAAATATTAATGATTTATTCCTACCCCTAACTTGTATTGAACCATCAATGTTCAGTTTTGTTGGCTTATGACTATCTCTATCCTTATACTTTGGCTTCACCGGAATAGGAAATAGGAAATAGAAAATAGAAAATAGGAAATAGAAAATTCGGCTTTTTTTCAGCGTTCGTCTCCTGTTTCCTCAGTTTGCTCGCTACTTGGATCCATATGACGAATACATGCAATCCAGCTATTGTAGCCAGCCACGGTACCGTAGTCAGAGAGTTACATTGATCGGCGACAGTGGCAACAGTACCGAACACACTCAGGTTCGCTTTGCTCGCTGCACTCGGTTACCTCGCATTGGATCCTTATGACGAATACATGCACAAACCGAATATTGTTAATCAGCCATTGTAGCCGGCTACGTACAGTACTCGGCGACAGTGTCAACAGCACCAAACACACTCAGGTTCCGCTTTACTGGCTACACTCCGTTACCGTACCTGCATTGGATCCTTTGACGAATACTGCACAACGAACTTGTCAATCCAGCCAGTCGTTGACATGTACATGCAGGAAATGGGTACCGACACAGGAGTCACACACCAAAACACAGGAAATAACACTGAGGGATGAATCCGTAGGAGGATCCACTCTCTCTGTGCGTACGAGTTTTGTCGTGTGGCCTCCGTTCATGCTGTTGATAGGGCTGGAGTTAACAGAGCCTCCTCCGTAGTGGTAGCCTCGATCGTTCTTCGTTCGTTCGTTCGTTCGTTCGTTCGAAAAGGAGTCCTGACAATGGGATTTCCTCGGCCGTCGCAGTGAGAGAATAGAAAGTAAAAATAGATTTGGTTTTCTCTTCTCTTCTGATACTGAGACAAACCGGAGACTTACTCTTGTTCAAATTCACCAACTTGGCCGTCATGGGCCGAGAACTGACTGCCTTCCGCGGTCCATAGAATTAAATAGGGATGGCTTCGCTTCTCACCGGAGACGACCGGCTTGAGTGAGGCTTGATAACAGAGAATCAGAGGTGCGATCGATCGATTCGAATAATTAAAACAACTCACCTGTTGACGGCCGAGCTTGGAATTTCTCTCCTGAATACCATAGAAATCCAATGAGGGAGAGAAGTCAGTGCTGTACCTTCAATTAACACTCTTGATAATAGGCTTACCTCATTGCGATCGATCGATCGATCGATCGGCCGATTGGATAAAGAACTCCTCCTACCGGTATGCATACCACTCTTGTCGGCCAAGCTTGGATTTCTTTCCTGTTTACCATACGAATTCAATGAGGGAGAGAAGTCAGTGCTGCACCTTCAACAATGGATTTGGCTGGACCTGTACCTGGTACCGGTACGTGCGCATGGGATGAGTTGGTTTAACCTTAACCTTAGAACCTTCAACGGTTCTTTTTATCCACGAATCGATCTAAATGTTAAAACATGTTAAATACAGGTTTGGTATTTACGGATACACATGACCGTTGATTCTGCAACTGAAGTGCGGGTACACTAATTTACACAGTAAACGCGAGCCAATCGATTTCAGAGTGCAACTGAGGGGGTAACCAAAAGGTGCGTCGTCTCATGGAGACGTAATAGGAAATAGGAAATAGCATTTAAGTTAGCGGCCGACTTCGTCGTGTGTTGCCGCCCGCTAACTATAATTTTTAAAGCTGTCATTCCCTTATGCAACTATAACTTTTGTAGCTTTTGCTAGCTTATTGTGTTGAGTGCACTAACCTTAAATATTAATGATTTATTCCTACCCCTAAATGTGTAGAACCTTTGATTTTCAGTTCGGTTGACTTATGACTATCTGTATCCTTATACTTTGGCTTCACCGGAATAGGAAATAGCATTTAAGGGGTTGAGAACCCAAGCAGTTTACCTGCCGAGGTTAGGATATAGGAAATAGGAAATAGGAAATAGGAAATAGGAAATAGGAAATACCAAAAAAGGGGTAGAGGGCTCAGGCAGATAGACTGCCGAGGTAAAGGGTGCAATACACGGCTCTTAGCCTTATTCGCGACTCGATCCTAGATAGGGTTTGAGTTCGACTCATGACTGAGTCCTCTCGTGAATAAGTCATTTGAGACAGGGTTCTCAATGACCGCGCTAGTCATACTAGGTTGATGATGAAACATCGCTCTAGATATTTAGCCAGCGTGGAGTACTTCCACGCTACTAGATCCAGGCTAGACAAACCTTCCACGCGTTCCGTTTTAGGATCGTGGAGAGACGTAGGTTTACTACCGCAACCTACTTTATAACACTTTATAGTCTCCCGCGGAAGCCAGATCTACGATCCTTTGATGATGATCTCTCTCGTTGATTAGTTTTCATAGCTTTCTAATCTCTCTCGTAACTTTCATTCTCTCAAACTCAAAACACTCGAAAGATCTTTACACTAGCTTTTAGCGTAGTGCATTTTGTTAACAAACACAATAGCTTTCAGCTACCCTCAACCTATTCCTTACCATGAAGATGCTCAAGAAAGCATGCGTTCCGCAATTCGAGAAACAGTTGCGTGACAAACCATTCTTCCTCTCGTCGACAATGACGAAGAAACGAGATCGACGATACTCGTACAACCACTTGCAAACTTCGCAACCATGTTGCCAAGCGCAAATCAGAAACACTCTGACAATGAGGACAACCCTCTATCAATTTCAATCACTTGGATGGAGAAATCTCTATCTGAGGATTAGGTCAGGATGATGACTCAACGGAACCATGTCCGATTTCCATACCAAAGTGATGAAGTAATCTCACTAACTAGTAAACAAGAATTGTTTGCACCTGATGAACACTACGGCAAATTAAGATGATTGCCTAGAAGCTGCTCAACAGACTCTGATGATCTATTTAGCATCGTTAACCTGTCCGTGGCCAACCACCTCGTAAACGTGAAAGACAAGAGACCTCAACCCATCGTCTATGTTAGATTTACAAAGCGAGAAAAAGGGAAACCAAAACCCGTTACACTCCTGTTGCTTACTGGATACAGGAGCATCCGGAACCTTGATTGCTCAACCTCATGCTAAGAAATTACGCATGAAGGATCTTGGGGCTCCAAACAATGTGGACTACCCTCAGAGAATTAAACACCAGCCGAAGTGCAAAGGTGCATTTATGATTCCTGAATTCCACGAAGATAGAATTATCAGTGGGATTTACACGTCACCAAGAGCTTGTGGGGCTATGACATGATCATGGTCGAGACATTCTCTCTGACTTAGGATTCAAGTTCGATTTCAACTACATGTCAGTGAATGGGGGACGGCATATCTATTCTTATGAAAGATAGCGAACAAATGAAGAAGAAAACTTCTTCATTCCTGATCCTACTGCTGTTAATGACAGTGCAGATCGTCTCAAGAAGATTCTTGATGCGAAATAGAACAAGCTGACTTAAAGGCAGGTTTGCCAAAGTCAAGATCAGTAAAACACGGAAGAGAAGGAACACTTCATTCCTTACTGACGAAGTACTCTGACCTATTCGATGGTACTTTAGGAAAGTGGCAGATGGACGACATACGAAGTAGAACTTCTCCCTGATGCTAAACCCTATCATGCCAGGTTTACCTATTCCACGGGCCATACCAACACTCTTAAGATGGAGGTTGAACGTCTGCGAGGCAGGAGTACTAAAGAAGGTAACGTTCCGAGTGGGCGGCACCAACTTTTATCATTCCAAGAAAGATGGATCTGTAGATTATCTCTGATTTCCGGAACTGAACAAAAGGATTAGCGGAAGCCTTATCCTATCCCAAAAATACAGGCATGCTCTTGAATCTAGACGGATTCAAGTACGCTACTAGTCTAGACCTGAACATGGGATACTATCACATCGAGCTGTCACCTCACTCGAAACAACTCTGTACCTCGTACTCCCGTGGGGAAAGTAGAGTACAAGAGGTTGCCAATGGGCCTATGTAATAGTCCCGACATCTTCCAAGAGAAGATGGGACCCTAATGCACGACCTAGAATCGTCCGTGCATACATTGATGTCTACTCATCCTAACTAAAGGCGATCTAGCAGATCACGTTGAAAAGTTGGATGAAGTTCTCCGAAGGCTTCGAGAAGCCGGACTTAAGATCAATGCTACCAGTCCTTCTTCGCAAGAGGGGAACTTGAATACCTAGGTTACTGGATTACTCGAGAAGGATCCAACCTATAACAAGAAAATAGACGCGATCAAGAATATCGCTCCTCCTACCAACGGAAAAGAACTCCGTAGATTCATGGGACTAGTGAACTACTATCGAGACATGTGATTAGACGATCACATGTACTGGCCCCACTCGCTTCGTTGACTTCCAAAACAACGAAGTGGAAATGGGAAGCGGACAACGACAAGGCCTTTAGCCAGATGAAGAAGATCAATCAGCAAAGAAACCTTGCTCGCCTACCCTGACTTCAAGATACATTCGTTATCCAACGGATGCGAGTGAACTCAACAAGGTGCAGTAATTTCCAGAGGGAAAACCTATCGCGTTCTACAGAGGAAGCTCACCCTGCTCAGACACGTTAACAGTTACCGAGAAGGAACTTCTCAGTATCGTAGAAACCTAAAAGAGTTCCGTAACATTCTTCTGGACAGAAGATCGTTGTACATACGACCACAAGAATCTTACATGTAAGAACTTCAATACCGACGCGTAATGCGATGGCGCCTTATTCTGGAAGAATACGGCCCTGAACTACGGTACATCAAGGGCGAACAGAACATCGTCGCTGATGCGTTGTCGAGCTTAACATCTCCAACAACGACGGTTCTCCAGAACAATGGAGCCAGCGGATCGCTGAGCTCATGGCTGCAGACGAAGAGGACTTCCCTAGCGAGTTCCCTCTCTCGTTCCCCGAGATCGAACATCGTCAGAAAGACGACAACGATATAAGAAACTCCTCAGGGACAAGCCAAACGACTACAAGAAGCAATCTTTCCCCAGAGGGGATAAGTCTACGACTTAGTAGTTAAGGACGATAAGATCGTCGTACCTAAAACTATGCAGAAGAAGCTAGTTGAATGGTACATGGTGTGCTGATGAATCCTGGCGAGACTCGCACAGAACTAACAATCAGCCACACTACACCTGGACAGGACTGCGCAAGACTGTGCAGGCCGTATGTCAGCGTTGCCAAGCTGCCAGATGAACAAAACCAAGACGCGTAACTGGGATTGATGCCTCCAAAGACTTGCAAGGAGATCCTTGGGAAAGACTATGTATTGACCTGATAGGCCCTTACAACGTCGGGATCCTAAAAAAGATTCCTGACACTTCATTGCTGACAATGATGATCCGTAACCGGATGGTTCGAGATTGCAGAGATCTGCTCCAAGGCAGCAGACGAAGTAGCATCGTCTCAGAACAAACGTGGCTTACTCGGTATCCATGGCCTGTGAGGTTATCATGGATAGGGACGCTGAGTTCCGCGCAAAGGTCGAAAAGACACTCCGGATGAATATGGACTTCGTCGAAAGTTCATAACTACGCGTAACCCCAAGCCAACTCTATGGTCGAGCGTGCTCATCAAACCATACGTAACTTGATCGCTGTTCAAAACATCAAGTGCCAAGACGACCTCGTGAATGGATCCTGGGATGGAGTCCTCACGGCGGTTCGCTTTGCAATGAATGCCACGATTCATACCACCTTGCGCGCAACGCCGCACAGCTCGTGTTCAATCGTGACGCGATTCACAACGTCCGGTTCGAAGCCAACTGGAAGTACATAAGGAACGTCGCCAACGACTATCCAACAAAACAACGATGGGAAAACGCAACGCGTGTCCTCATCAATACAATGTCAACGATACTGTGATGATTCAACAGTATCAGCACCGCAATACGGTCAGCCAAAGTACAAAGGTCCACACTATAGACCGAGTCAATGACAATGGCACTGTACGGCTCCAACATGCTACGCCAACGGCGGCACAGTCTACCAGACTTGGAACATAAGGTATATACACCCATACAAGGCCTGATCCCCTTGTAGGATTGCCATGTGCGACGCACACATGTCTACATCCAAATCTCATGAGAGTGCCCCGCACTTTAATTCATATGTTCTCCTTGTCCGACTGTGTCGCGCCTTCTGTGACCTTGTCAGGGGGCGAATGCAATACACGGCTCTTAGCCTTATTCGCGACTCGATCCTAGATAGGGTTTGAGTTCGACTCATGACTGAGTCTCTCGTGAATAGTCATTTGAGACAGGGTTCTCAATGACCGCCTAGTCATAAGGTTGATGATGAAACATCGCTCTAATATTTAGCAGCGTGGAGTACTTCCACGCTACTATCCAGGCTAGACAAACCTTCCACGCGTTCCGTTTTAGGATCGTGGAGAGACGTAGGATTACTACCGCAACCTATCTATCACACTTTATAGTCTCCGCGGGAAGCCAGATCTACGATCCCTTGATGATCTCTCTCGTTGATAGTTTTCATAGCTTTCTAATCTCTCTCTACTTTCATTCTCTCAAACTCAAAACACTCATGAAAGATCTTACTCTCATAACTTTCATTCTCTCAAACTCAAAACACTCGAAAGATCTTTACACTAGCTTTTAGCGTAGTGCAAGGGGTTAAGAACTCAGACAGTTTACCTGCCGAGGTAAAGCCTGTCAAAACCAACAGTGGGCATTCCTTGGATTCTTTTGAAAAAGTTCGTGGGCAAGGTCTTTCCACTGTCAAAGTGGCAGGGCATTTGAGTCCTATGCACATCACAACAACTCTTCAGGAGACATATGTGGCATGGTTGCCAGAAAGCACTGGGTTTGTCAACAAATACAATGCATGTAAGGGGAAGGATGACATTCTGGGGCTGTGGACGAAAACCATCGAGGGGCTTACCCAATTGCCGATCCAAGAACAGAGGCCTGCTCGACAGGGCGAGCATGATACGGCCGTGAAAACTGAACCAATCGACCACAAGATTTGCACCTCGATCGTCGATCTATCAGGCTCACCAGCTCTTTCAAGTGATGGTCAATGTCATTCTCTGTAGCCTTGATGGGGCATGCAGGTCAGCAGGCATCCCGTCTTTTAAAACCGGAAACAAGAGTTTGTCAAACAGCTTTGGGACTGTTGCTGTATGCTGTTGGCATCGCGGGAAGCGGAAGCACTTCGAAAGCATTGCGTGTCATTACCCCTGATGGATATGAGGGTGTGGTGAAGGTTAATCTCAAAAAGAACATGATGACAACAAACAGGAACTATCAATGGAGGATTTCAAAGCCGCTGCCAAAGCCGCAATGGACAAAGAGTTCCGTGTGTTTCAATATACCTACGCGGAAATGCCGGTTAGTCGGATGCTGCTGAATCAATACAAGAGTTTGTTGATGCCTTTTTTCACACCCATTGAAAAGAAGGAACGGAGCAACATTGAAAAGGTTGTAAAGAATGCTCTCAAGAAAGTCCAATACCTGTCTTCAAATTTGCACTATGCGGAGCAGGACATACGATGGAGACACATTGGGAAATGGAACGAAGACGTTGTAGTCATTGACTTTGGCGACATGAAGGAGACCAAGAAGGATGACGTTCAGAAACTAGCTAAGCATCATTGTGACAAGCTGCTCCAGCGTCTACCTCCATCTGATAAAGCGGAGCATCCATCTGAAGCGAAAGGAGAGATTCGGTCGGATGTCAATCTGAGACAGTCGGAACCAACCGAGGAGAAATAATGTGACTTCCCACCCATGTGGTACGGACGGTGCGGTACCAGGTGCAGTACGGTAACTAGGTGAAGGGCAATGGTACTACCTGTGCCGTTGCGGTTGCTACAGTAGGAGGTGGTAGGTAGGTACCGGCCGGCTGTTTTGAAATAAGCTTCTTAGGGATTAGGAATTAGAACTTGGGGGAAGGCTCTGTCACTCATTTGAGCAATAGACCGATTGCCGTGGTAACTGCACAACCAGCGTCAATGGGTATTTTTGGACTTCGAAAAATTTTACTCACCCAACTATGGTAATTTACTAGCACTTTTTCACAAAAATCACCACCACCACCCACCATGGCCATGACAACTTGACTTGCCCATATATCAAGAACCATCCATAGCTAGACAACAAGTGAATACTCTACATTTATCTACTCTTTCTTCTTTCTCCAACCCTACCCTTGCCTTGGTTGTGGCATCTACCTGCTAGATGAAAAGGGGCCGTTTCACCATCCTGACTTGTTTAGCATGAAGACCACTACTACTGGCCATTATACCTCCTGATATCTTTCCCTTATATGTATACTGGAAGGGGATGACTTCAAGAAGCGTTAAATTTGGACTGGTGGTTGTGGAGATACCCTTTTCTTTGGCTTCATGCGAGAAATCCGCTCAGAATCACGAGTTGGCCCCAGAAGAGTGACTTTTGGCTCTTTTGACACCAAACCAAGCCACAGAATTCACGTTGGAGTGTATGCACCCAACTTCAGATGTCAAGACACCACCAGAAACGGCCAGAAACTGATTGATTTGTGCCTACTTTTGGCCTGGGATTTCTTCCGTTTTGGCTCGACCCAAACAGCCACCTTGTCGGAAGACTTCTACTGGGAATTTCGTGGAAGCACTTGAGGAGATTCAAGTTTTGACACTACAAGCAACAACCAACCATCCAAAGACCACTTCCATAGGCCATCAGGTTGCCAAATAACAAACTTTCTTGGTTTTGGACGACTTTCACGACAACAAAAAACAGGTCAGCATATAAAATTCTGTGGGCCACCCAAGTCAAATATGGGTCAACTGAGGCACAGTCCTGCCTTGTATATACCCTTAGTGGAAACTTCAGACCTTGACCTGTCTTCTAGAGTGGGTATATTGTCATTCTAGAGTCCCATGCTTTGGCAACTTTGAGCTGCTGGGTTGATGAGTTTGTTGTTCTGAAACTGTCTAGATATACTGATGGTAGAGCCAATGTATTTTTGTAAAACTAAGCTGGCTTAAACGATTTCGTTAAGTCTTTTCATGTTGCTTTACCATTTTTTCTTCTTTTAACACTAAGGTTTATGAAACGTTAGAGTCAGGGTTTAAATGAGAACTCAATTTGCGAGGGATTCCTCCCTCCCTTTTCCTCCCTTCCACGGGAATCGGTTAAAAAAATCGTATCACAATAATATCACAATAGTACAGTACAGTCGTACCTTTACAATGCCCTACTAGAGTACTAGCTAGCTAGAGATGTGGAAACTTAACGGTTTTGCTGGACTGGTTCAAAGCGTTCAATGTATGAAAATCGTTGATAGTTCGAATTCAAAATGACAGCCAACATCGATCTGCCTGCTGTAGCTAGTTACAAGTGTGGGTGGCAACCCGTGCTGTTGCTTCTGCAGTGTGCTGTTCTACTTCTGATTTCTGCCCCCAAACGAACCGTTTCCAACTACCTGTATGGGAGAAGATTAGCTAAACTTATATTTAATTATGAATTAAATTCTACAGCAGTTTTCCTTTCAAATCCAGCTGCTGTAGTGTATTGATGTATTGGCGTATGTTTTCCATACTGCGAGAAAAGGGCCAGTAGATCAAAGGTCACCTTTGTGGGCATGATGTTTATGGGAAAACTGCCTTATAGCACGGCGTTCCTATGGACCGCTTGTTCAAAGCGTTCAATGTATGAAAACCGTTGACAAAAGCAAATTCAGTTGCTACAAGCAACAGCAACATCTGAGCATCAATCACATCAAAGTATTGTACAAGGGCAAGCTAAAGTGGCTGATCACATGGATCTGGCTGCTGTGGCCACAAAGCAAGTAGCAACCTGGTATTGTTGTGCGCAGTCGCGGTGAGGGAACGAATTCGCTGCCTGTTCCAAATCACTGAGGCCAGGGGGATGAGCAAAAATGCCAATACCGCTGCATTGAATTTGTTAGCTCTTTTTTGTATAATTGTGTCTGTAAACGAAATATTATGTTTTGGGTGTTTGTTTTCTATTGGATTGGATTGGATTGGATTTGATTGCATTGAATTGGATTGGATTGAATTGAATTCCACTTTACTATATAAATAACAGTACATTGTTGGTTCCAATTCAATCCAATGCAATCCAATTCAATGCAATTCAGTGCAATCCAATCCAATTGATCTCAATTTTAGTCCATAGCTTGCATTTCGCATTTAAAACTGTTATTTCGAGTCGCAATTGAGTACACTCCAGCCCTATAGCAACATTTGCCCATCCCCCACACCACGTTATGAGGTATGGTAGTACCGTTCCTAAACACCTTCCACTTCCCCAACGGGGTTCAGAGTAGGTAGATTATCTACGGAGGCCAACCGGAGCCAGGCTTAAGCAAAGAACAGTCCACAGGTTACTTTTGTTTATGCCTAATCAGAAGGTACCGGTACCGGTACGGGTACCGTCCCCCGTACTCAAACACCAAAAAGCAACGCCCAAAATTTCGTGCCGGTATCGTTGCAAGAACGCCACCACCTGTTGCCTCGAAGCCTCCAAGAACAACATAAAGTCTAATTGGAGCATGTGTGCTACCACATTGCTCCGCTTAGAGTCATGGCAACAGTAGGCCGGTACCAGTAGTGGTACCAGGCACCAGGTGCGATGCTGCGATACACTTGTGTACTCGAGACTGGTGGAATTACGGTACATGTACTGTATCGCACAGCGAATAGGCTTTACCGGGTATGCATGCTGCCATACACTTATTACTTGTTGCGTCGCGTACTAGTACTTGAGACTGTGGAATGACGGGACGACGGGACTGTATCGCATAGCGAAAGGTTTCTGGTTCTTTGGTAAGCCATGGAATTACGGGATTGAAAAATTCAATCATTCGATTCTAAATCCCGCCCTTGGACAGATCATTCAATTCTATCTCCTGTAGTTGCAAGAGTGTGTGGGGTGGCAACCTGGTGCTGTTCTACGGAAGCCCTTAGTTACATAATTTCTGAGGCCAGACCACTTACTTTACAAGCCTCCTTGATCTGTCACTCTTTCCCACTGTGATTTTTGTCGGAGTTAGCAGGCAGTTCCATCAGTTGCAAAGGATAGATGACTGAGAATGACAAGGCAGGCCATGAGGGAAACAAACAGTGAAGTGGAGTTGATTTGTGCCACCCCCCGGTACCATTGCCTTAAAAAAAGTCCATGTCATGATGTCTGGTGTGTTCTTGTGTGTAGGTCTACTGCATAGCTTGAGTTTTCAGGTCCAGCATTTTGGAGCGAGGACATCTCCGTTCCTCGCATCAATCCTGGTTCTATTTTAAGTTCGGTACTGATTAGTATGAAGTTTTTCAACCCTCTTCATCCTTTCTTCATTCAGCACCATTGTCTTGGACTTGCTGCTGGCACTGAGAAAAGATTATCCGATAATTGCTGGTGGACAATTCATTTATAGCGCAAGCGTATGGGGCGACATCTCCGCAAGTGGTTACCAGATACCCACTGACGCACTGATGAGCTGGAGGCCAAAAAAGCACCACCACCAACCACCAATGGAATCGAATCGAATCTGGTGGTTGCTGTTTCGTTACTGGACTTTTTGTGGCGAAATTGAATTTATCAATTGCAGCAAAAAGTGAGTATTCTAAATATAATTTACTGGGATTGACTTCGAATCGAATCCAAACACAATCGATAGTGCACCGTGACAGTTATGTCTATTTCGGCCGACATCACCGTTCTGGTCTTCTTGTGGCGGAATTGAATTCGAATCGATTGAAACACAATCGGAAGTGCACCGTGACAGTTATGTCTATTTCGGGCGACATCACCGTTCTGGTACCAATAGTCTACTGTAGAGAAGAGACACTATTGACACTATTAATACCGGTAAGTCTTATGCTCGTGGGTTTTGTCTTGCACCACAGCACCGCATGCACGGCGCTTAAGGAATTAATAAACTACAGTGTGAGCGAACCGAACCAGTACATACTACGGAAGTACGGTAACCTACAGGGAACAGGCCTTAGAGTCGGCTTCTTTTCCGCTGAATATCGAACTCAAAATACTAGTAGCTTGCCACGCCAGGAAAGCTAGGTGCAAAATACGCTCGCTGCCCTGCGCAAACCTTTTTGTTTTGCTATGCTGCAGTGTGCTGTCTCACCGCAAGCAGTGAGGAAAGTTCGCTGCCTGTTTTGCATTTTGCATCAGAAGATACCGGCAAAAGAACACTACTACTGTAGTACTGAAAAGCAAAGCCGATAACATAGACTAGATCTATAGTGATAACATCCTGTTCCTTAGCAAGAATGCTTCCTCCGTGCCGTAACACGGCACTGGCACTATTCTGGATAGCAGGTTGACATTATCTACAGTGCCAGCGTTTGGAGAACATCTCCAGCAAAAGTACCCTGGAGCACAACGAAACTGTTTCTTTTTCTCTTCTGACGGAATCGAGTGAGTCGGAAGCATCTTGTCGCGTCAAGGCCTTCCAGCTGGATAAAGGAGGGAGTTCTCATGGCCCATTTTGAATGGGCATTGTTACATCATTGATATGTCTCGTCAGTATTCTACTCTAGTAAGAGCTATTCTAAGCAACTTTCTTCAGCCTTAAAGAACACTGTGATAAGTGTTGATCTTCTCGCACCATGGAACCCATTGAACAGTCTGCACCAGACAATTCAGTTAGGTCTTTCGGTAGGTCGTCCAGCATCTGGAGCGACAGCTCCCCAGTTCACTGGGTGAACTACTGGCTCAGTTCCTCGCATCAATCCTGGTTGTATTCAAATTCGGTGCTGATGAGTTTCAATTTTCTTCAGCCTTGCTTCATTCAGCACCATCCTACCACTCTCAAGTTGTCTTGGACTTGCTGTGGTGGCACCCCGTTGGTTGACTGACGCACTTTAGGTTTCGGCTTACTATAAAGATAGCAGAATCGAATCGAATGATCAATCGGAAGTGTCGTCGTGTGCCAGAGCCCTTTATCACGCTGGTGTCTGTACCGGTATGTGGGGCCTCTTCTGGTACATGTAGAGAAGAGACCCTTATTGCTCATGATTTTTAGGGCGGCAACAGCGCAGTGAAATTAAAAATTCAGTGACCAGGGACGGAAAGGGGAGCTGTTCCGGGGTAGTACACTGTACTGTGAAAGTACCAGTCAGGGATCGCTAACCAATTGGTTAGGTACTGGTTACTGGTTACTGGTTGAGTAACCAAAAGTTCTAGGGTACTGGTTACCGGTTACTGGTTGGGTAACCAAAAGTTCTAGGGTACTGGTTACCGGTTACTGGTTGGGTAACCAAAACTTTTGGTTATTTTATAGGTAAGTAACCAGTAACACTGGTTAGTAACCAATTGCAAGTGGTTACCTTGAGGGTCTGAACATGCAGCGCAAGACTTTTGTGTTGTTTGCTTCCGCCCATGTCAATCCATCGCTGTTTCCTAGACATACCTTAGGATTTTGCAGCATTGGCAGCACAATCTGCTCCTCTTCCTCTTTGGAGTAGTACTCCAGCTCCTCCAGCATCTCCATTTGATATCCTCTTCTGTCAGATCTGGTTCTCCTTCTTTGCGTGGCTTGTTGAGGGATTTCACCTGTTCTCTGAAGAGTCTCTTCGTCCTGTTCTTGCTTCCAGCAACCTTGCAACTGCCACGAGGTGCCTGTGGTTGCGCAGAAGTGACGATTCTTGTACGTGAGAACCTTCATTTGAATGTGAAGTCGCCCTGGTTTGCCTTTAGCCTATCGTTCATCCATGTAGCTCCACTGAAGTTCTCTCTTGATCCCCATTACTGTCGGGCAATGACAAGACGATGCAAGCAAGAGGATACAGAACGGGGTGGCCTCAACCACATTGACTTCAACTACTTCGTCGACTGGGGGGCCGTATATGTCTTCTTCGTCGGAAGGCTCCTCTTCTTTTCTTCTTCCATGTCGTCGTTCAGGTTGCGTTAACCAGTTGGCCTTCGACAAACTCGGCATCGGCTCGTTTTCTTCGGAGAAGTGACCTGTGCTGTCTCGCCATCGGCTATGCTCAGGGCGGCTCCAAAATCGTCCAATACCCTTGACTCGGACATTACGAAGCTAGCTTGGACGGTAGCTTGGACGGTGAGCTAGCTAGCTTGAACAGCTTGGACGGTATGTTGGACGGCAACCAAACGAGTAACCAGGTGGCAAGCTAGCTTGGACGATGGCTAGCTAGCTAGCTTGGACGCTTGGACGGTATGTTGGACGGCAACCAAACGAATAACCAGTAACAAATGAGTAACCAAACGAGTAACCAAACGGACATAGGTTGCCCCTATTGGTTATTGGTTGGCGAATTTATGAGAGGAAACGGCAAGTTTCGAAATTCGAGTAACCGAATGGGTAACCAGTTCGATAACGGTAACCAGTTCGATACCGGTAACCGGTCGCAAAGTAACCAGTTCGATAACCGGTAACCGGTCGTAAAGTAACCGGTAACCGGTCCAAAAGTAACCAGTCGAAAACGACCCGGTTACCGGTTACCGGTTGAGTAACCGGTTATCGCGAGGTCCCGGTTGCCGGTTACCGGTTACGTAACCAAATCGAACAACCGGTAACCAAATGTCAAATAACCGGTAACCGAAAGAACTGGTTAGCGAACCCTGACTACCAGTACGCACGCGGTGCGGCAGCGAACAGGCCATCGGCTTCTTTTCGGCTGGACATTGAACTCAAATCGTCTTGAGGTATCTTGCCACCGTAGGAAAGCTTTTTAGAGCAAAATCCAAGCCCCACTGTTCTTGCTGCTACTACATGTAGTAACTTCGTTCTGCGCAAACCTTTTTTGTTACAATTAATTTCTCTCTTACAATCTAAAAGTACTCGAGTATTTGTTCAGCATAAAAAATCTTTACTATTAATAGTAGCAAGCTGAGGAATAGGTTCGATCCATTCAACCCCACTCTATCTTTGTACAACCTTTGCAATCTTATTTGAAGAGAAACGACTCTTTGACCATGACCTCATCAGGAGACAGCATCATATATGCGGGTAAGTGGACCAACGAAGAAGCAGATTATGTGGATTGCTTGATTAAAAACTTTGAAAAGGGCAACCTAGAGTTGCCTGAAGGAGCAACCTTGAGGAAATACCTTGCCAAGATGATAGGCTGTCGTGTGAAGCGCATCTCCAAGCGATACGAGAGCTCAGGATATAATGGCAGGCAGAAGTATTCAAGAAACCACGATGTGGACCCAGTCGATTCCGCAAGAATGACCAAGGAGCTAAAACACCTCCGTGTGACCTTCTTGGAGAGCCGCAAAACGATCCTCAGGTTCAATAACCGGACCAGGAGCACTGCAAGTCAAGCGGTTGCTGCTGCCCGTAACCAGAGGCTTGGCCAAAATACTCCCAGCCATCCTTTCAATGGAGTAGATGGCGTGAGTCATGGTCGCACGATCCATTCCACCCTCCTTTCTGCGTCCTCTGTTTTGCCCATTCCAAGTGGACAACCAGCTATTCCCAATGAGGTCCTCCTTCTGCTCAGGGGAATCCGATTGGCACCCAGCCTCCCAAACAACCTCCAGCAACTCAGGACCTCGTCGTCCTTGGGAGTGTCCAGCTCAACCACCCCCAGTTTCTTGACACCTACCTCAGCAGCAACCGCTGCTACCACTACATCTTCTGTGTCCCACATGTCGGGGCATCTGGAGATGCAGCTTGCCCTGGTGCAGAGGAGATTGCAAGGAGAGGTCGCCGCAGCCCAGCAGCAGCATCTCAGGCGAGAGTTGGTCCGTTCGATCCTCTGTGCTGTTGCCACGTCCACGGGAAGCGGTGCCGGTGCTGCGATGGGCCACAACCCGTAGGTGACACAAACCCCATGGTTATCAAACGGTTCCGTAGTCTTGGAGGGAAAGACAAGGGAAGAACAGAGAAGAAGTTGAAGCCAGCCCATTGAACGGGCAGCCATGAGGCTACAACCAGAACCAAGTATTGCATACTTATACACAAACGTACATAAACAGAAAGGCAAATATTGACAGAACACAGTCTAGTCATTAGTCTTATCGATTCTTGTGTCTAGACCTGGCTGCAAGGATGCACCAAGACAAACTGCATCTTCCCTCACATGGATGGATACGTATAGCTTTCGACGTACTGCACACTCCAACAAATGCCCTTCAAGCAAAGGAACGGGATCACAGGGCACCTTGGCTCGACACATTCTGGCTCAAAAGCCGTGGTTTGCGTGTATTGGTCTTTACTTGGCAAATACTTCTCTCCTTACATGCTGACAATCTATTAGAATAAGACAAGATCAGAGTCCATGATGCATTCGCTTCTCTACAATTAGCTGCTAGTATATGTACGATCATGCCTCTTCTTTCTTGTTGCATATCGTACACTTAGCGTGCTAACTCATTGTCAAACACGGCATTGTTGTCCCGTAGTTGTTGTCGTAGCAGGGACAGCAACGCAAAGTGATAGCCTGATTCAGTCAAATGGTCTTCGACCAGATGTGGCACGTACTCGATTTCATCAAAGAAGGAGCAGGGTGTGTAGGCCGCTTCGAATCCGGTCGCAGTTCGGTACAGATGCAAGCAGTTGCCAGGAGGGATGAGTTCTGTTTCCATGCGATACTCGTGCTTTTCGTTCAAGGTACGACGCTGACTGCCCTCCAGATTACCAACGACCTTGGGGATGCTTTCGTCGACCGCCTTTTGGATCTTGGGTCGTATGTTGCCGTCCAAATAGTTTTCGATCTGTTCGCCCAGCTTTCCCATGACGTCTTTGGCAAATTTGGTTCCATGGCCACTGGTCCATTGATCTACATCTTTGAGAATGTCTGCTCCCAATTCTTTCAATTCTTCCGTCAGGTATTTGGTCCAATCAAAGGACATCATTTCTAGATGCAAATTGACAATGGACGATCCACTCATGCGTGGCACAATATCGGCGTCGGCAACGACAGTGGTGATAATGTCCTTGTACTGCTCACTGAGTTCGGGTGACACCAGCGCAGGACATCCAAATCCGACGGCTGATACCGACAAGATGTCTTGATAATTGTCGTGAAACTCCATGGCCGCAATCGCGGCCGTGCCACATCCCAAGGAATGTCCAAAGAGCAAGAGTTCAATTTTGGAGCGTCCCGAAACTTCCAGCAACAGTTTCAGTCGTTCGATGTGTTTCTCCACAATATACGCACCACTCTTTTGAATGCCTCCGTGGGCCTTGTACTTTTCCTTGAACGTGGTGGCTTCCAGGAGTCCATCGGACAAGACATCGGCCATCGTCTTGGTTCCCCGCACGACAATCATGACCTTGAGAATGTCACTTTCTTCCTCTTCGCCGGCTGCCATGGCTTTTTGCCAAAAGCTCTTCTTTTTCTTCTTATTGTCCGCAGCGTCCTTGTTCATGGGTGCCATTTGTTTTTCGACCGCCACAAAATGCGCCGGTTCGGCGGGATTCCCTTGAGTATCGACAAAGATCAATTCCCAATTGCCATTATCACAATCCTGCAATCCATCTCGTACTTGTTGTTCCTCGTCGACATATGCCAGGTCGCTCAGATACAATGCCTGATGCAATTCTCTCCAGAGCCCAACATCATTGACTTTGGTCATGTACTTGTGTTTGGACGATTTCCAATAGGCATGTTTTTTGGCCTGTTCGTGTCGCAGCAAGTACCATGCCGAGGGCAAAAAGAAACATTCGTCCATGAGGTCGTTCAGTCGATCTCCCAACACGCGTTGGAGTTGATCCATGACTTCCTTGGCATGACTTGTGAATAGATCGGCCGTGTCTTTGAACGTCGGCGCATACTCTTCTTCGTACGTTACAACACTCTTATCCAACAAGAATTTGAACAAGGCTTCGGTAGGATCGTCCGCCTTGGCAATATCTGCGAGAGAGGACAGCACGCCAGTGTCCTTCTTATCATCATCCTTGCTAGTTTTGTCGGCTTTTTCGTCGGTACTAGTACTGCTGCTACTACTAGAAGAATCTTTATTGACCAGCCGAGAAAAGGACTGTCGACGAGCCTGCGCGGGTTGTCCTTGTTTATCCTTGGATTTCGGCTTTTGACCAAACACATTTTGATTCAGGAATTTCAAACTTTCTTTGGAAGCATCGTCAAACATGGTCTTGGCGTCGTGTGCGAATTTCTCAAAATCATCACAGTCATCGTTGTCGTTCGCGCAGACATTGGCGGTGTCGCCCACAACAAAGACCAAGAGCAACGCCAGTACTAGCAGCATGGTCAGCAGACCGTTCTTCCGTTCATGGCAACTCATCTTGCTTTCTCAGATTCGATTCTTATTGCGCCCTACTAGCTAGCTAGTAGTTGTCTTTGTCCTGTCTTTGTGGATATCAATGACGGCTTTTGACACTTTCATTGAGGGTGGAGTATCCTTGGTCATTGGCGTCAGGCAGAGGTCCAAAAGATCTTTGGATCTTTCTCACTTGAGGAGGTATCTTTTTACAAGTACAAGCCAGCTAAGCAATAATGAAGCGTGACGCTCACTCAAACGCTTTTTGACCAAACAGATACCAAAACACAGCATCTGGGAACCAAAAGCATGGCAACCATGTATCTTATTCAATTGGACTTACTTGCTTACATACTAGCTAGGACACTTTCTAAAACATTACACTGTACTATTCAGCAAATTGGTGTGATTGGCGACAATGCAAGGACAGTCCTCACATCCGCAGAGGGATGCAGAGCAATCATACTTCAACAATTTCTTCATGCCACAAAGTTCACTGGAGATGGTACCAGTAAAGCCTGTTCCTCTGATCCACAGACTTTTCAGATTACCATTTCGCCGCAAATTGACAAAATCTACAGGAATTGTTCCCGTCAGACCAATATTCCCTTCCATGTTGACATTCTTCAAGACTGACAAGAGACCAATCTCAGTTGGCAGTCCACTGATAAAAAAGTTCTCTTTCAGAAACATCTTTTGCAGATTGACAAGCTGCCCAATTTCGGAAGGCAATGGGCCAGTGAATGAGTTCTCATGTAAGTTCAAGAAAACCATATCCGTCATGAGGCCAATGGATGTGGGAACAGTGCCTTCGAACTGATTCCTGGGAATGTTGAATTGTTGCAGATGGGGCAACCTATAGCCAAAATCTGGGGGGATTGAACCAGACAGGTCATTGGAGCCAAGATTGAATACTTCCAAGTTTGATAGATTCCACAAGGCCGATGGCACTTGGCCAGACAGCTTATTGTTGATGAGTTCCAACTCAATTAGGTTTTGTGTCAATAAACCCAACTCTGAAGGGATCGGACCAGTCCACTCATTGCTTGCCAACTTCAACACCCTCAAGTTTGTGAGACCACCAAGCTCTGTCATGATGGTTCCAGTGATTTGATTGCGTTCCAATGCAGTTAGATACTCCAGGGATGTCAGAAGAGCCAGCTCTGGTGGCAGCGTCCCAACCAAGCCATTCTGCTGGACACCCAGAAAGGTCAACTCTGACTTGGAGGTGTCATTGTCGGGAGTGCGGCAATTCTCAACTTCAAATGCATTGGCAAATGTAAACCAGGTGCACTCAGATGACTCATAGGAGAGCCATGTTTCTGATGTGATGTTCACATCCCATGCTTCCCTAATTAGAGGCCCACTCTCCATGGTCACTGTTGTGGTGCCACCTCCTTGATAGGGCCAATCTGGCCCCTGCAAAGCATAGTAGAATGTTGCTAGTGCAAATCGTTGCAAAAGGCGCCCCTCCGAATAGTTGCTTATGAAAGGATCGCTCTTGATCCACTCGTAGGCTTGTAGCTGTGGCGTTGTACCATTTTCCTTCGCTAATGCAAATCCTTCCTGGATGGAATCAATTGTTGAACCCGGAACAACAAAAGGTAGGTCCCAAGCCCATGGATCACTAGTAGCAGTGTAGTCTTGGTTTTCGCTGTGGTTCGTTCCAGTACTGCTGGGAATGGTGTTGCTGATGTGGGTATCATTCTTAGAAGAGACTGCCACAGCAGTCAAAATAAGGACAAACCCCGCAACTCCAACCAAAAACAATGGAAGGATCCACAAGTGCACCTTGTCGTTTTGGCCCTGATTAAAGGTACCATCTCCATCCAGCACTGGTTCAGCAACCTCTGTTGGAAGACTGACCAGCCTCGCACTGACCAACCCAACATTACTCGTCTCCACTTCAGCTGGAATTTGCTCTACGTCTCCATAGGTTTCCATAATGTCTTCACCAAGAGGGGATTCCACTATGGGAGCTCCTTCCCAAAGGGCAGTGGGTCCTTGTGCATATGCACCAGGAGAAGCAGGCGATTGCTGTCTGCGAGGAGGTGGTATTGGTGCTGGATCCTGCATCCAGGACGTACTCCTGCAATGTTCCAGGAGACCCCTTTCTGCCTTCTTGACAACTTTATCCACTTCACTACTGCTGGACGCCATGGTAAGAATTTGCTTGACAGAAAGAAGAAAAACAAAAGAATGAAGCTGAGGAGAAAGCGAGAATGGCGAGGGATCTCATGACTGCTTCGTTGCACTGTCGGATACCAAATCGGGTGACTCGTAGGCAGACGGGCTTGGGGGGAACGGATTAGTTGCCATATTGTGTCTGAGCATTAAAAAACCTGCTTCTTCGCGATATCAACCGAGCAACAGTACAACAGTACAGCCAGACTTGGGCGCACACAAGGGTTCTGCAAGTAGAGATTTATGCGTTGTACCACACTTCCGTAGGCAGGATTTAAAAAGACTTATCGCAAACAGCTGCCCTCAAACCTTGAACGGGCTGTATCTTTGTATCTTTCGGTACAAGCCGGCTAAACTATTTACACCCCAAAAATCGCCTAGAGCCGGAATCCAATCCACGTCTGAACTCCAGGCTTCACACCACGCACACCATTTTGTCCATGGCATTTGAGGAGAGAAGAAGAAGAGGAGCAAACGGCACCCTCTTCAACAGCTCACCGTGAGTCGGTGTGACGCGAACAGCAGCATGTCCTACTCGGCAGACTATGGGTACACAGCCGCCGACGACGACACACGGGCACGGTTTTCATCCGATCCACAAGTCAAGGCAGACTGGGCTCGGATTCGTGCACTCAACTCACGGTGCCACGAAATCCTCCGTCTCGCCAAGCAATACGATACCGAGGCGCTTGAACGACTCTTGGGAAGCGGGGAGGCAGGCCTGGCAACAGTCTACGAACGGTTTGAATTTACAGCATGGCTGGATCCGGGGGGTGCCTTTGTGGCCAAGAACGTGACAGTATTTCAAGCGGCGTTGCTGCAACCGGAAGAGTTTGGGCCGCTGCAAAGCGACGGGAGTATCAGTGGCATTCACACTGGCAAATGCTTCCTGACGCTACTCCGTCTTCTTGTCCTCGAGGACAAGAAATCCATTCTGCTCCACCAAGATGCCACGGGCAAGACGGTGCTGCACATGGCAGCCTTTACAGGCAGCAACAACAGCCACATCATTCAGCTTATTCAAGACACGCTGGCCACGGAACCGGGACTGCAAAAGGAACTGTGGAAAAAGAAGGACAAGAGGGGAAAGACGGCACTGGCGTATGCACGATGTGAGCATGACAAACGTTTGCTTTCGGCTCATAAGAATGATAATGCAGAGGACGCGATCACAGCCGTAGCAGAAGAAGCAATTCTTGAGGATAAGAGTGGCACCTGCATTTTGCTTTAGGGCCCCGTTGTCAAGGGCACTTGCCGAATGCGACCGTTCCAGCCACTAGTTGGCTATTAGTTTGTAGAAGAAACTAGCTACATTGAACTTGGGTGAAGAAATTGGGGTGATTGTATTTGAACCTCTGGTCACCATTCGACTTGAGGCTTGTGAGGTGAGGTGAGAGGATGGCCCATTATTTGTGTGATGTTGTGGATTGCAGTGGGGTGGGTATAGCTTGGCGGACCATTCTCCAGCCATGGCAGGCCCAAGCCAATGCCGGTGTCACTAATACGCCGAATAGTAGCAAGATTGTATGCCTAAACACAAATGAAGTAATTGTAAAGTTAGTTGGTGATGCACCATACAGATATCAAAGCAGCAACATGGAATTCATAAATAAGTAAAGTGGAACCATCATGCGGTAGAATTGGTGATGTCAAATGAAGAACCATCAGCGCCAACCATGATGCCAACAATGATTTCAGAGAAGGCCTCACCACCCACGAATGAAAACAACAATGTTTCATTGCTTCGTGTTAGAGTAATCCAAACAGAGGATGACATGCCATCACCAAACCAATCAGATACAATAAATCGATAGGCTGTGTCGGTATTGACCAGGAAGAGAGAGGAGTGAAGGTACCTTGGAGCTGCTAGAGGTCCACCTGGTTTCAATGTGTCCCAAATACCAGTCACGTCGGTTTCATTCTGCCAAATCCATGATATGCCTTGTGGAAAATCATCAGTGTAGATATTGAACATGACAGCTCCAGGTATGGTTGGAAACCGCCCAGGCCAATAAGGTGGAGCTTCTTTGAGGTCAGAACAGGTGGAAACAGGGGGAGTTCCATTTTGGGAACAATCGCACCAAAGAATACCACAAACATCCTCTGGGACAATTCCAGAGAAGCGATTCCCATACAGTCTCAACCCCATAGAGGCATCCAGTTTACAGGGCAGTGCTCCTGTCAGGTTATTGTTGTGAAGACGCAGTGCCGTCAGTGAGGTCATTTTCCGACTTCAGTTGGGATCTTGCCAGATAGCTGATTGGCGGAGGGTGCTCCAAAAGTTGCCCCCATTGCAATGATTGTGGGTGCTTCGAAAGCCTGCCCAGCCAGAGAGTGTTACAACCTAAAAGTTCCGGATTGGTCTGGTTGGGTGCTCCAAAAGCCGGCCCAGAGAATCCCGAGATTGCAGGAGCTGCTTCTCACAAATTGTGCCCGTCAAAAAGACGCTAACGAGCATCCCGTGCCATCAACCCAAGCAACCACTGTCTTTTTAGTCTCTCCGTGCATTCTGTAGCTCGGGTGAGCCAGGATCCGATCTGACTGATCTCTTTATTATAGAATCCCAGCAATAATTAACCATGTCACACACTACCGTAATGACTGAAACCAACGGCAAGTCAAGTCCTGGTTGGCGCCATGAATGTCACAGTGGATTGACTCCCGCCGCGATACTGCTACACGGTATTTAGAGCTGGATCTTTCCGAACGTCATGTGCAAAAGAAATGAGGGAAGGCTGGCTCGGTGACGTGTCAAAGAGAATTTTAGGCCAACCAATGATGCCAATGATCGAACAACACACGCACAAAACGGCCGTGTTAGCGAATACAAACCACACACATACATGCTAGACTATTACCAAAGCCGCCGGTACAGTACAATACCTTAGCTAACTCTTGTCTAGATCTTCCGATTCCGCACCATTAGCTTGCTTCATTCATTTTAGAAGGCGACCTATTACTAATAGAAAAAGGGATGAGATAATGATGCATCCTCGACAGAGAAACACACAGTATACCCAAGAACGGCATCGGCGGTCGATATCCACGTCATTGTTGTTGGTAATATCCCTACTGTTACTAGATATCAGATCCCATGGCGTGTCTGCAGCAGCATCACTCCACAAGTCCAGCCGGAAGCAGTCTGAGACACAATCATCACCACGGATTGTGCGAGGAGGATCCTTGGTACAATCCCAAAACAGACGACAACTACAACAACGACCTCGAGGTACTAGTGCCAATGGTCGCCGAAAATTGCAAGACATGTCCACTGCCTTGTCGAATGGGTACGGTGGTGCTGGTGGTATTACCATGGACCAGGTCATTCCCTCCATGCGACCCCAAGCGACACCCATAACACCAGAGGATACCCCTCCTGGATTTACTCCCATGCCCGTCCCACTACCACCAGTAGTACCACCCACTGTGGCAGTACCACCACCCACTCCGGATAATCGCGTCATTACCTTCCTGGCGGGCAATCTCAATGTCATGGAGGGAGATTTGGTCCTCAGTCAGGGATTGACCAGTCGCATTATTGCCATTTCGGGACAACCCATCCAATACACGGCTACTGGCGGACTGGCATTTTCGGCCATTGATTTTCATTCCTGGCCCGATGGTGCCGCCTGTTTTCCAGACAATCGACCCAACAATCCCGATGGATGGATCTACGTGAGCAATCAAGAAGATGAACCCGGGGGTGTGGGGGCCATTACATTTGATGCAAATGGTAATATTGTGGATTATCGCATGTTGCTCACGGGAACTACCTACAACTGTAATGGTGGCAAGACACCGTGGGGTTCGTGGATTTCCGCCGAAGAAGATTTTGACAATTACCAGGGCCGCCCCTGGCAAGTGGATCCCTACGGTGTTCGAGCGCCCGTCCCCATCAACATGGGTCTAGCCGGTGGTTCCTACGAAGCCTTTGCCTACGATGCGCGCAATCTCCTAGTGCCACGCTTTTATCTGACCGAAGACGATGTGTTTGGAGCATTGGAACGATTCACGCCCTTGGCGGCCGATTGGAACAATCCCTGGGACATTCTGCTGGGGCCCGGTGTCAATGAATGGTTGTTGCTGATACCCACACCCGGAGATCCCTCTACGGGAACGTATACGTGGACCACTGATTTGCCCACGGCACGCAGCAATGCCGGATTGAATTATCCCGAGAGTGAAGGTGCGTGCTTTTGACATGGATGGTGTTTGGTGATTGGAAAACAAAAGAATGTTTCCGTTTTCTCACTCTTTCGTTTGTACCTCCTGCTTTTTCCTACCGTTTTCTACAAACAGGCATTGATGTGTCCAACGGCACGCTCTTTTTTGTTTGCAAGGGCATCCGAATGCTCTTTACATTGGATCTCGATGGCAACACATATACCCGACAATCCACAGACTCTGGACTGTTTGAAGGAGAGCCCGACATTATCCGGACCATTCTCAGCGACGAACCCGATGGGGAAGCCATGCTATACTTTACCGAAGACAATGGACGAAGGGCTGGAATTCATGCCCGAAACAGTGCCGGGGAACTATTTACCATTGTCGAGGGATTCTATTCGCCCGAAACAACGGGGCTGGCACTGTCGCCCAATGGCAAGTTTTTGTACTTTTGTTTCCAAGAAGATGGATACTGTTTTGCCATTAGTCGAACGGATGGGTTGTCGTTTCGAGCCAAGACACTCAATGTCAAGACACATGGAACAGAAGTTTCCACATCCAGATCATCCTCGGGACAGCACAAGAAGAAGAAAAAGAGGCATTGAATTTAGTTGCGTTTGCAACCTGACAAACAGGTATCTATCTTCCCAGGAACCACGAATTCCCCTCACCCAGAGCTGGAATCATGTACGACCCAGGTGTTGGTCCGCAAGAAATACACATCTTGTCCGTAAAGTGACGACAAATGTTTTGCTGTTAGGGATGTATGTTCCTTGCTGTTGGGTTGTTTTGTGCCCAGTCAAATGAACTGCTGTATCATATTGTAAACGACTAGTAATTGGTACAAACGCTGAGCTGCAAGGGTCTCTATCCTTTCTTGACCGTACGTACTTTAGAAACTGCTCAAGCTAGCTAGCTCTAGGCAGCAAGGTTGGCGCATGCAACGGCCCACGATGCAAATATCGTTTCCACCTTCTAGTATGCACCTGCGCCCTCCAAGATACGTAGCCCTTTGTTGAATCCCTTGTTTTGAGCAATATAGATGGCAGTCTCACCGTACTTGTTCCTGATATGGAGATCCAAGTCTTCATGGCCAAGCAATGCCTTCACAACTTCCGCATGGCCTGCCCATGCAGCTTGATGAAGAGCAGTGTTTCCATTATCATTCTTTGCATTGATGTTCAACCGAAAATGAATCAGCAGTTCTCTCACAACGGTAGCATGGCCTCTCCGGGCAGCTTCATGAAGGGCGGTGCTGCCCACCAAGTTCTTTTCGTTGACATTTGAATCACTGTGATACAGCAGCATTTTGACAACTTCAGAAAGCCCTTCGCTTGCGGCAACATGTAGGGGGGCATTCCCATAATTGTCCTCTGCGTCGACATCCAAGTCGACAGCATGACGCAGCAAAACTTTCACAACTCCGCCATGACCCCAAAGTGAGGCTTCATGAAGTGCAGTCTTCCCATTATCCTTCTTTGCATTAACATCCAACTTGACAGCGTGGTCAAGCAGTGTTTTCACAACTCCAACATGGCCACAATGTGAGGCTAGGTGAAGGGCAGTGTCTCCGTTTAAACCTCCTCTGTTGACGTCGAATGTATTGTCAGCTTTTTGCAACAATAGCTCAACAATGTCAGAATGGCCACTACGGGAGGCTATACAAAGAGCACGCCAAATGTTCTCCCCTGCAGTCACCGCCAAGACATCTTGATCAAACAACGCTTTGACGCAATCGGCATACCCAGACTCACAAGCCGCCTCTAGACAGAGCAAAAGCTTCCCCTCCGACAGGATGTCTTCAGATGATGCTTGCCCAAGCAACTTTTTCAAGATTTCAGCATGGCCAATGCCAATAGCATTTGCAACTAACTGTTTTGTTGTCAACCTCTGCTCCATGATCCAGTAGCAACTCCACTATATCCATGTGACCTCCCCTTACAGCTCTACAAAGTGGTGTCATACCATCCCAACTTTCAATCGAAGAAGCATTGGCTCCTCGATCCAGCAATGCTTCTACCAAAGGCGTATGACCCTTTTCAGCAGCCCAGTGCAACAAGGTTTGTTTTCCTTCCAGAAGAGAATCCACATACTCGATAGGTTCTTCTTCTGCAATAATAATGAAGTGTTGCAGGGTAGAGACATCATTTCGCTTCACTGCCCTCCGAACTATTTCTTTTGGTGTGGCTGGTTCATTATTATTATTCCAGGGAACGAGTCGAGTCTGCAGCCAGGCGCAGAGAGCTGGGAGAAAAAGGCAAATTGCGATGTTTTGCCATTTGAGGAAGGCCCGTTTGCATCATGGTCATCCCCCTCTTGTAGTATCGCATTGTAAGAGGGAGAGCGGCCTTCACCGCCATTTGGGGATGGGTCTGCCAGTGACCATACTCCCGATGATACAAGGACGGATGCAGTGATCAAAAAGGCCCTCATTCCAATAATATTGTCAAACCGCGCCATCTTTATGATGAATGTATTGTATTGTTTCTTGCACAACGAATGACATCCAACTTTTGACGATTTCTGAGATCGTCACGGCGTGGAGTGGATGGTGCAGATGAGACCGCACTGATCACCAAGGTGGTATACTTCTTCCCCTGAAAACCTTGAATAATTTCCATTCTAACCGAGCGTGGTCCGAAAGACGCCTCTTGAAGAAGAAAAAAACTTGCATCCAAGCAACCAAACTGCGCTGGCTTAATCTTTGCCATGAGAACTCCAACTCCAAGAACGACGATCGATGGGAACAGCCCGACCTTCCATTACATGTATCGCTGTCTTCAGTTTTGGATTTCCTATAGAAGACCTAACTAAAGACCAGCCATCACCATGACGATGCTGCAAAGTAGTCTCCACCGCTTGCCGTTGCTTTGGTTATTCGTGGTTATTCTCATCAGCAGTGCCCTCCAAGCAGCCGAAGCATCCACTTCTTCTTCTTCTTCTTCGAGTACTACTAGCAGTAGTACCCCACAACCAACAGGAACAGCACTGGCGAAAACCAGCACGGTCCCCGTGATTGACTTGTCGAATCCCAACGACGACGAATTGGCGCAACAAATTGCCGACGCGTGTTCTACGTACGGATTTTTCCAAGTAACATCGCATGGGATTTCGGTAGACTTGATGACACGGTTCCGACACCAATGCGCGCAGTTTTTTGATTTGGACGCAACCACAAAGAAGGCCCTCCGCCGCAACAGTCACAATGCGCGAGGATTCTTTGACGATGAATTGACCAAACAACGACGCGATTGGAAGGAATGTTTGGATTTTGGTGTTCCTGGAAGTCGATTGTGGGATGCCGCCGATGACTCGCCGTTTAATGCGTGTTTGGATGGATTCAATCAATTTCCTTCTGTATTGCCTGAATTTCGACCCACCATGGTGGAGTACTTTGACGCGTGCGCCAAACTATCGCATCGCGTGGCATGCTTAATGGCCCGAGGCATGGGATTGCCCGAGACGGATTCCTTCCTTCAAGATTTGAAACACCAGCACAGTTCCTATCTCCGTTTGAATTACTATCCTCCCTGTCAACAACCCTCTGCTGCCGTCACAAATGAACCAGACCCAACGCCATTAGGCATTTCTCCCCATAAAGATGCTGGATTCTTGACGGTCTTGTTGCAAGATGACGAGTGTCATTCGCTACAAGCATTCATGGATGGGCAATTCGTATCGGTCCAACCGGTGCCCGGCGCCGTTACCATTAATACCGGAGACATGGCACAAATCTGGTCCAATGGACGCTACAAGGCACCCCTGCACCGAGTCTTGACGGATCCGACCAAGAAACGATACTCGGCACCCTTCTTTTACAATCCCGGATACAATTGGCTCGTCACGCCACTACCAAACGATAGTAGTGATATGCCAAAATACTTTGGCTGCTTGTGGGGATACTTTCGGGCGGTTCGATTTGCCGGGGATTTGACCAATCTAGGAGTGGAAATACAAATTGACGATTACGAGACGCAAAAACAACCGCCTTCAGCTCATTTGAAACGACAAAAGTACTTTCAGGAAGGACGGTGGACATCGCTGCCATTTGATGTCGAACGGTATCGAGTGCTCATTCAAGAATTTCCGGATGAAATGAGTAGCTAGACTAGACCAGCTAGAGTGAATGCATGGATGGATGATTGCACGGTCGGGTAGACGAACGAATCTCTCGTAACCTTCTTCCACAACATTGGTGCGGCACGAAAGCAATACCGGTATTAGCAAAGAAGGACATTGGTGGATTAGAACAGATAAATCAAACTTATTTTAGACACAAGATACATTTGAATACTAAGCTGACCAGAGATCGGGAATTGATGGATGTCGCTGAACAGACTTTCCTCCGTGCTTCCTTGCGTGCCGTACAGGTGTGTCTGTGTCGTGGCTGGTCTGTCACAATGGGGCCGTAAATGAAATGGGAAAGGCACATGTTGTAGTGCAGCCAAACAGGTACCGGTACATCACAAGATTCGCTTATAGATGTCGCTGGTTTGACAATTGTTGAAAGCGAATGATTCGATTCGATTGAATGGTTCAATCAGCTAGGCGTCGCTGCTGGCTGGAGCTGATGATACGCCCAAGGTGCAGATTTCGCATTGGCATGGTTCTCCAGGCATGACCTTTCTCTCCTCGAGGACAAACGCATGGGAAGTGACTTTGCCACAAAGAAGCCTACAGACTCTCTTATGTCGTGGCCAGTCAGCTACCTGACATTCTTTGCTGCAATATTCTCTCATCAAGCACTTTGAACACCACAAGGTTTTTGCCACGGTCTTGAGGCAGACTTCACAACAGCGGGTTTCGCTCCCATCTTCTATCAAGGTCTGCTTGAAGCGAGACAAACAGTCACATGGAATCTTCTTGTCCAAATATGTGATAGAGTCAAGCACGCTTCCACAATGCTTGACAAAACACCACTGTACACGAGCACTCTCATCAAGCGCCTCTGCTACGGACTGGGGTCTCTTCTTGAAGCACTTGTCGCAGAAAATGGCTGCCTGGAAAGCCAAGTCTGCTTTGTCGTGTCTCTCTTTTGTAGTGAAAGTCCGGTCCTGTATCATTGGCATCCAAAAACTAGAAGAAAGAGAATACAGAAACTGGGCAGTGTCCGGGTGCTCGATCAAGGGGTGAATCAAACGAAGCTTCTGCATGGCCACAATGAGGACGCCTTTCATCGAAAACATATCAGCCAAGAAGGCGTCCAGCTTGTCTTGGCCTACATCATCAGCATATCCTTCTGGACTTCCATGGAGACATTGACTGGGTTTCTTTGTGGTGGTCGCTGGTGGAGGAGCTGTCGCATTCGCCGTTGGAGGAGATGGAGTTTTCGTTCCGTTGGTGTCGCACTGGTGATTCATCGAGGACGAAGCCTTCTTCTTTTTCCCTCCCTTCTTCTTGCTGCTGCGGCGATTCTTCATCTAGTCAGCTACGGTAGCAGTAGATCCAATGCCACAGGGAAATTGCCGGTGAACAAGAGGAAGGCGTTGTCTTTGTGTCGTCGATCAATGCTGGTGGCTTTCGGCTTTGACGGTCGGTGAAAAATGACAACGCAGCAGAGCTGCAATTTGAATCTTCTCAATTGGCATTTTACGAAGACTCGACTCGACTTGACTCGACTCATCACTCGCCCTTTAGATGGCGGCCCCTCAAGCTCTGCATGTTTGATGTCATTGTCATTGTCTGCCATTGTCTTGTCAACAAAACAAAGTATGCAGTCTCCAGAGTGGATTTCTACTGAATGAAATTTGACGGTGACTACCTAGAAGCTCTACGAATGCAGCTGACAATACAGGAATCGTCGTAGAGAAAAATGATAGATCAATGGAAACAGGGAACTAGCTAGGTTTGCTTTCCTACCATCCCTTTTTCCTTACCCCTCCTACCCCCTCAAACTTCTTTACCAACCCCAACTCTCTTCAACAAAGAGCTCGTGATTTGTGGTGAATCATGGCTCTGACCTCAGTGTACAAATCCTTAGATAGCTAACAGGTGTCGCACCCTCTCAGGAGGCCAGTGTGGCCGGTGAGCAGACTTGACTGTGGGAAATACCCGAGCCCTAGCTCGTGGGTAGTCCTCAAGCACATCTCGTCTGAATCCGTTATTAGACGTTCAGTTTTTTTTTTAGCTAGGTTTGCTTTCACTACGGTACCATACCATACACTGTGTACTGGCTGGCCAATAGTTCAAGTAAATGTGTCATTCGGCCAAGAGCAGAGGAACAAATCCCAGAGCGCGAATGAGGTGGGAAGAGTATCAATACGGAAACGGAAAGGTGTACCAAATAGTGAACATTGGCGGACTGTCAGTCAAGTCAAGTAGCGTGCCAGGTTGTTACGTTTAGTTTACTCTGTCTTGCGTGGATTGGCATAGCGTGTCCAGGCTTTGGAGTGACTTGCTATGGTGCCTGGAACTTCCAGGATTCCAGACCCTTCCATACATCATTGCTGGCACCCGCTTCCTCATGTCTTACAGCTGCGCCGCAAAATAGAAGCGCCCGTCGCCAACAACTGAAAACAGGAACCCACACAGTAATACATGGCATCCTAGGCATCACTCTTGGCTTTGGCGGCCAAGTACTCTTTAGAACTGATTTCTCCACAGCATAGTTTGCACAACAAATGGTGCTTTGGCCAGTCAGCTATCTGGCACTCAGTGCTGCAGTACTCTTGCATGCGACATTTCTCACACCACAGCGTTTTGGCAACCTTCATGTGGCAATGAGTGGCACAGCAGAAACGGGCTTCACGCTTCCGGAACACCTTCTTTTGATCTTGGACACGCAGTCGCAGGGGATCTTGTTGTCCAGGTGCGAGACAGCATCGTGTGCACTTGCACTATGCGTAGTATGGTACCAAAACACGTGGATGGCCTCATCCATCAGGTTTTCCTCGTTCCATGTTACAATCGTATGGGAGGCGTTTGTCATAGTACACAGCGGCAAAAAACGACAGCTGAAACTTCTCAGATACATCGCGATCGGCTGGAATATTGTCGTGGTACACCAGCCAACTGGCTGCAAGGGAATACAGAAACTTGGCTGTGTCTTGGTGTTCCATCAAGGGGTGGCGATAGCGAAGCATCTGCATATTTGCAATTACATGTACGGGTTCGACGAAAGGACAGATATCGGAATTGGGAAGACGTTAAGTCTTTTTCTAGGTCCCTATAGTAAAACAGTACAAACTGACAAAACAGACAAAACTGCGAACTAATACGACATCGTTTCAGAGGAAAAGGAGCAAGGAAACCTCACTGTTATCTCAAGTAAAGGCCCTGGTGCAAGTACCGAGACAACTGGTTGAAAATTCGACGAGAAACAAGAAGATTTGGAAGCAACGGTGGACATCACGGCATTCGGCGACATCAACCTCTGCCAATCTGCTCAGAAGACTGTTCCCAGCTCCATTCAAGCAAAGCACTGTGTTAGGATACCCATCAAGTGAGTCAGTTGAAGATATCATGGGAGATAACGAGAAGGAAGCAGAGAAACCGGCATCTGCCATTCAGCAGGGAGGAACACTAGCAACAGCCAAGGCCGCGGGGTCATCCAAAAATGAAACCGGCATTCCAGGAAACCAAGGTGACAAAGCCTCAGAACATAATTTATCTGAATTTATGGGAGGTGGAACGAAGGAAAATGAGCAAAAATTGACCGAGAAACCAGCTGAGGAGGGAGCCAAGAAGCCAGCAGCAGTGAAACAGCAGCAGCAGCATTTGTGCCTGGTATGATGATGGCAGCCGGAACCTACTCCGAGAGAAGAAATGAAACGCGGGTGCAGAACGAAAAAGCAAGGAAAAGTAACTTATGCTTCAGGTGGGAACCAAATGGCCCTGATGAAGGTTTCACTTGAAGTCCGGAGGGTATCAGCGCATCGCTCAAAAGCAAAGAAGGAAAATCGCAGTGTGAGTCTCATTTCCTGAAGAAAGCACAGACAGTATCCGAACTGGAGTCATTCACTGCTCAGATTTGGAAAGAAAGACGGGAATGTGACCTTGAGTCCACA